TCTCCTATTCTCTTGTAAACAAAGGCGCAAAATGGTCCAAACACGGCAAAACTTGTCGGTTCCTGCGCAAGCTTATCAATAAAGAAGCGCCAAAGAGTAGTCCGACTTGGAGAAGCTAACGAGACGTGCAGAATATGGACAACGGGATCTTTAAAAACAGCACCAAAGAACAGAAGAGGCTGAGAAAAGATGCGCCGGTACCGAGGGGGCAAGACGCAGGAGGGCGGGGTTGGCATGCAGCAGGCCATGCAGGGTATATGGAGCCACTAAGTACACGGCTCCGGAGCGTGCGTGCTAAGATGGATCAGATGAAGTGTGTGTGGACGGGCTGAACATGCACCGCGTATCAGAGAGGAATGTCACTGCCTGGGTGGTTGGCTGGATGATGGCGCTTACTGGCACTGTTGTTGGCTAGCACATGTCGGCCATTTGCTCCGTTGGCCTTTCTTTTTTCCATCATACTATCCTCATCTTCTCGTAGTGTAGACAAGGCGACCACGCCAGCTGGCGGCAAGACGCAGGAAAAGACGGGAGGATACCAGCAGGAACAGGTCAAGACACCAGCGTTGCGGCCCGTTAGGAGAGAAGTGTGTCTTGGATGTGTGGGCGTGTCTTGAAACACCACGCTGGAGGGTGGCAGAGGGTGGCAGTCAAGGGTGCTCCGGTGCCTCTGCCACACATGTGGATGCTCTACCAGTCTGACGGATGGTGTGTTGGCAGCAGCCCTGTCGGTATTCAGCTTTCCCTTTCTCCGCGGTCTTTGACCAATGGCGTGTTGCAAAAGCGGCCGCGAAGTCTAGCGAAGGCTGGATGGACCGTCACGTTGGGTCTTGGCTTTCCCGCAATCCGGCAAGAGGTCACCTCCATTACAACCAAAAGCCATCATGTGAGATCTGGGATGGTGCTGGGAAGGCTGCTTTTTGGAACATTATAAAGCATGTCATGGGATTATTGAGGTTGTGTTTGTGTAAATTCCCAAAATTGAACAGAGGTATAACAAGGCTCTGAGTAGTCTACAACGGAGCCTCGAGGACGAAATTGGGATGATCAAACAGGTTTATATGTCGTATGCCAACTGCGAACAGAGAATGTCTTTATGTGGCATCGAGTGATAGGCGGTTGCCGTTTGGTGATGGTGTACTTGAAAGGGAAAGTCTTGGGGCTCTGTTGCGTGTCACGTATTTATCGCTGCTGACTTGGCAATTCAGTTTGGTTTGTTGACTCCATTCAGCGCGGGAACCACCAAAACGTCTGCTGAATGCTGCTGACGACGCTGCCAAGACCATTTGGTCGAATGCCAAGACATCATCCGCGACGACCGGATCGGATATCAAAGGCTGCCCGAGGAGAAAGCCGAAGGTTCCGGATTGCGAAAATCCTTTTGGTTTGCGCCGAGTATAATAATATCTGTCGGATGCCATCTTTCTGCACTTTCTTATTCCCTCGAGACTGCCGAAGCGACTCTGATCAAACCGCGCAGCCATGTCGACACGAAATGCGGGTACCATAGCAATGGGAATCGGTGGAGAAAACGCCAACATGGAAAAGCAAGAGCATGTCGATCAGTCGCCACCAAAGTCCATCGACAACGAGCGTCCAATCCACGGAGATACAATTGGCGCATCAGAGACGTCCATGTGTACAGTCAGTCGACAACGACAAGAGTATCCGGCCCGAACGAAGGATTGAACCCCCGAGTATCCGACACAAGAAACGGCATGCATCCCAAACCGATGATATAAGATTCAAAGTCAAAGAAAAAGCTGTCCGATATGCCGCCCATTTCCTACGATCCAAAACGCCCAGATATGCATGCACCTTCATTCGCCCCACTCCACGATTCCATCCGAGGTTCCACCTGGACGACATGCCCCCATTCAGTTTTTAAGCTCTTTCCATTCCAAGTATCCCCGACCTCAACCGCTCTCCGACTTGACCAGGACCGCATTATCCCGAAACGACTTGGGTTTCGTCTCTGTCTCCTCGGCCAACTGAATGACGCCCTTCCGTTTCGATGAGAACATGTTTCTTACACTATCATACCGGCGAGTCAGCGGGACCTCTGTCGACAATGCAGATGGGACGGGAAAAGATGGAGGGTTGACGTAACACGGGAGATATGGCGAGACAGCTAACCTTCGACAAACAGGACCCCAAGTTTCGACCACGACGACAACAAGTAGGAAGGCCGACACCAGGAATATGACCAGCACATCATCATGATCGCGGGGTTTTTCGACATAGAAGGGGCACGGTGATGTGCCATTGGACGGTTGAGACGATGATGATAACGAAGAGGACGACGACGACGAGGGCGAAGGTGGCGACGGCACTGGCGAAGGTATCCCGATGCTCAACTCCCCCATTTCCGTAACCGAAACATTATCCGCCTTCTCGTTGCCAGGTAATGCCGATACTGGTTTCTGCTTGGGGTTGGACGCTTGTTTTGAGGGTGGCTGCGATGATGAAGGTATCCCGACTCCCAGCTCCCCCAATTCCGTGATGACCAACACCGGGATATCCTTCCTCGCGTTATCGACAATCAGTGCCGGTCCTGAGCCATGCTTCTTCTTCCAATTATCCCATAAGGAGTTGAATGAACGTTCAGCCTTTTGGAGGATCGGACCGGGAGCAAGGTGAGAGGTAGCAAGAACAAAGGCTTTATCGGACTTTGGATCTCGACCGGAAGCTGCGCTGCTCGGCACATTCCTGTTCGGTGAAAGCAGGATATTATCACCGGCCATCCACGGTACCGGCACGCATAGCGCCACATGTGCCATAGCGATGGTGGTGAGAAAGGTAGTCGACTTCATCGTGTGACTTGATGCACGGGCGGCTGTAAATGGCCAAGGTAAGCGGGCCGAGATCTTGTGGGCAGGTCCGATCAACCGGGCGCCCTTGGAAGTGATGTTGGGAAGATGGAGTTGTAGTGAAGGCGCGGGACTTTATGATCTCCGCGATACTTCCCGACGACAATCGCAAGATCCAAGATGGAGGTGTGATTGATGATATGACTATCACAGCGTTCGGCGTGTCCGGGGGTGTCGAAAGCTCGCCTTCGTGGTTGTATTATGCCGCAGTGCCCTTATACATGCGAGTGGTTGCACCACTAGCTGAAGCAACATAAAGCCACGTCTTGTGCAGGCCGCAAGGTGGCAAGCTGTAAAGGCAAGCAGGGCGCAAGCAGAAAGGGTGAGGTAGAGGAATGAGGACGAATTACAAGAAGAGAAAGCAGACGGTGGTCCGTTGTCAAGAACAACACAGCAGCTGGTGGTGTATATGTTGGGCCGGTATATTGAGAGGATGGCTGGCTGTGCAGAGCTTAGTGTCGTGAAGGATTCGCCAATGGGGGAAAGGTGCCATCTCGTATGTATATGCCGTCGGCGTCCCTCATCTCATCCAATTTGGAGCCCAGTCCAATGCTGTGCTGCGCAGAACCGCAGTTTTCCCCAGCATCCCATTAACATGCAACGCCTCGGCGTGACTGTTTTACCATTTTACAGGGGTGTCCAAACCTTGTTCCAACCACTTCCCGCTCCATGTGCATCGAAACACCACGGCAGTCCCGCTCCGGATCTCGAGGTCTCACCCAATCACCTGGCGCCATTGATGCTTCTATGATCGGCGTTTTCCTATCCGGGAGGCTCTTTTGGGCAAGGCGTTTGCGTGAAGAACCATAAGAGAAGGACAGTGACAGACGAGAGGTAGCATCGCAGACGTGATGGTTGACCAAAATCGGGAGGTTTTGCGTCGGGTTCCGAAACCTTGCTCGGCTCAGAGGAGAGGCTATGCAACATGGTCCAAGAGAGATGGGGATCTGGACCGGACCGACCGCATATGGCAGACAGGGGTGATGGAGCAATGGTTGGGTTTCCTCGAGTTGGCTGTTGGTTCCCCTTCCTCTCCCTTGATGTTACCCGACCGAGAACGCCTTCGCTTGTTCCCATAAACCGTCACTCTCCTCAGCCTCAGCTTCCACGCCTGCCTGCGGGGAAATCCTTTGCGTGGGCAGGTCACACCTTTCTGCTGTTCGTATTCCCCCATATGGCATTTTGCATAGGGTGGAGTCTCGTCGGTGGCCATCCCCTCTCGCCCTCGTACAGATTCAACTAGACCATCGCTTGACCATATAGCTCCCCGTATGTTTCAAGAGTGTCATCAGGAGTGCTGCTGAGTGAGGTACTTGCATTGCGGCAAGTGTAAGCGAGTGTGAATGAAGGTGTTGCGGATCCGTCAAGATACCAGGGACCAGGTGAAGGGCATGGTTGGTGATCAGATAAGCTTTTTTTTTTTGTTTCTGTTTGCCAAGTCCCGAAACACCAAGGGGTTGATGTTAAACACATTCAACGGCGAAACGAAGAGCCAAGCATTTCAGTTTCCTCAGACAAGAAACTATTCCGTCATTCTTGGGTTCTTCGGTTTCAGTTGCCGCTTGGCGATTTGGCCCTGCCGCCGCCGATTTCCATGAATGGCCACACTCACCCACTGAGGGATGGCTCGTGCACTCGCTGGAAGAAGCTACCTCGGCTAGCCCGGTACCTCTACCAATTGACTGCCAAGACAACACTGTCTCCCAGGCAAGCGAGGGCCCTGAACACCGAGGTCAGCTAGCCTCAACCATCCCGTCCCGTCTCGTTCCTCAAGTGATCATGCGCATTCCACTTTGATGAACCAATTCCCAGCCTCCTCCCCTGGCCCTTCCATTCTAGATTGTCAATTTCCATCCGACGCCACCAACAACCCGCGCTAGCCACACCAAGAAAGCTTATTTTGCTTCCTCGTGTGCCATCCATCCATCACCTGTCATCCATCCGGCAGCATCGCGTCACGCATCCATGAGTCCAGCACAGGGGCACCAGCAGCTGTAGCACCACCCTGACCTCATATCCGCCTTCGTCCGTCGGTCGCAAACTGCCAACTGCAATTTCGACGCGCCATCACATCTCGACAAAACCTTGTGACGAGCCCACCTTTGCATGGAGGGAGAGCCTCTCTGATCCATGGCCCCTCCCTCGGGCCTCCACCAAACCGCCTTATCCTCCGACTTCGAGACCCCGTTCCCGCCCCTCGTCCGATCGTCTACCGCGCCCGTCGCTTTCAAGTCGCATCGCGCCGATCCCTCCCATCTGGCCCCCGAAGATGCCTACTCCCCCGTGTCCCCGCCGCGCCGAACCAGTCTCTACAATGTAGACGGCAGTGGCAGCGGCAGCGGCAACAACGCGCCCAATGGCTCCGCAAACGAGCTACGTCCAAGACTTATCAGGCGCAAAGAGGGCAGCAGGAGCAGGAGCAGGAGGAGGCAGAGACGCTTTCAGAAGCTGCTTTGGGTGAAGCAGTCATATCCCGACAACTACACCGACCAGGCCACCTTTCTCGAGAAGCTCCAGCGCAACCCGCGCGTCAAGCCCTACGACTTTTGGCCTCTTGTTGCCGACTCGACCGTCATTGTCCAACAAGTATGCTCCGTCATCATCTTCGTTGTCTGCTTCGTCGGCATTTTCCAAGAGCGTGTCAGCCCCGTGTCTGTGGTAGGCTTCGGCAGCTTTGCGACCTTCATCGGCTGGCTACTATGGGATTGGTGGGTAGCGGAGGAGAGTCTGGGAGCGCAACGCGCAATGGATGGGACTACACATTCACATAGAGGGCGAGACCCTCGTCCCGTACGGCGTCAGGACTCTCTTGGTGGTCCGACTCGGAACGCGAGCATCGTAAGTCTTCCGGGAGCCGGAGCGGGAGCGGGGACGGGAGCAGCGACACCGACACCAGCGTCTGCCCTGCCTTCAACGGCGCCGTCCCCGCGTCTTGATCAACATCTACACATCCCCCGCTTCAGCATCGGTCCAACCGACTCGCGCTCCGCAAGTATCGAGCCCTCTACTGCCGCGGCCTCCCCTGCCGGCTCGCGGGCCCAATCTGTCGCCGACTTCCACGAAGCCCACTACGGCCACCACCGACAACGATCCTCGATTTCCTCCCCCATCCGCGGCGGCGGCGTTCTTCCTGGAAACAGCCGCCTTCAGCTCCGTCTATCCACCATCAAATCCGCCGTCCTCATCTACTTCACCCTCTTGGGCCTCTCGCCCATCCTGAAGTCGCTGACACGCTCAACCTCCTCCGACTCCATCTGGGCCATCTCCTTCTGGCTGCTTGCCATCAACATCTTCTTTTTCGACTACTCCATCAACAACAACCCCTTCACACAAGCAACCATCACCAACCCTCATTCCAATCAAACCGGCGGTATCGTAACCGGAGGCTCGACCCCAGCGCCAGCCGGAGCCGCATTGAGAGCCGGAGCCGGAACCGGAGCCGCGACGCCCATCCCAACTTTGACCTCAACCTCCCCTCCCACAAGCGGCACTTCCACGCCTGCTACCAACGCCGGCACCGGCACCAGCACCAGCTCGAGGCCCGTCCCCGGTACTTCTTCTTCCGCCCCCACCGCCGTCCCCACCGCAACAGGCGGCACAACCACCCCCATCCCAGCGCAGCACAAGTTCCCCATCGCCTCTCTCTCTACCAACGCCGCCCTGATGGCCTCGACCGTGCTCGCCTCTCGCCTACCGTCCACCGGACAAGTCTTCTCCTTAACCTTGTTCTCCATCGAAGTCTTTGGTCTCTTCCCCGTCTTCCGTCGGTACGCTCGCCACCGTTCGTTTCGGTACCATGTCATCCTGACTGTCCTTCTCTTGCTGGGAGCAGGAGCCGGGGTGGGCATCATTATCGGGGCGCCTTGTCCCCCTCCCGGATCTACTACTTCTGCTTCTTCTTCCGTTTCGATGGCCGCTGCCGCCGCCGGTGCAGCAGGAAGAGAGTTGTTGGTAATATCACCAGAAGAAGTAGTAGACGGAGGAATGACTTTGGGATGGACAAGAGGGGTGTGTGAATGCTGGCAAACGTGGCTTAAACACTCGCTCCTCGGCATGATTGTGTCCTGCCTGATTGCCGCGGTGGCCATGGGCGGGTGCAGCTGGTGGCTGATTGGGTTACAAAAGTACAAGAACGAGATTTACGGGCCGTGGGACCCGGCGAGGCCGATTATTATTAGTAGACGGTATTACGATGATGAATGAAACGGACACTTTGTCGTTGTATAAAGGGGTGGGTTTGGTAGATTCAGAATAGATAATGTTTCTCTTGTTTCTGGGTATATAAAGCCAGATTGGATCCGCGATATGATGTGTTTGTTATATGGTCTAATGGAGGTTTTATGATGAAAGTGAAGTGGAAGACATGTGTGGTGGTGGTGGTGGTGATGGTGGTGGTTTGCATTCTTCCTGACAAGGGACATCATGGAGACAAATCATATCACCCACACTTTCACATGCCACTCACTCATGAACAAGGGCAGACATCGACCGCCATGTTTTCATCCCAATTGATGCGAGTTCGGATGACATGTACCGTTGTCGGGTCACCTCAAGTCAACAGACCTATTCAGACTCTCAATGACTTGCATAACACGTCACCTACAGTACTACAAAAGATCTAATCTTCAACTTGACCCAGTCACCGATAATATCTACACGTAATCCTCAATCCTCAATGCGGACGCAAACAGTTGCCAGAAAAAAAAAAAGTCGTCATCATCCATTTTTGTTTCATTCTAAATTAAACCATTACCACCACCGCACGCTTACTCAGCAAGCTTCTGCTTGATGATGTCCTTGAGGGTGACGGCATCAGCAGCGAACTTGGAGATACCCTCGCGGAGCTTCTCGACGGCCATCTGGTCCTCGTTGAAGTCGAAGCGGAAAGTAGGCTCGCTGTTGATGTAGGTCTTCTTCTCGATCGAGAGGCTGGCGGCGTCGGCAGCGTTGAGCTTCTGGGGGACGGGAGCATCGGAGTTGAGGAGCTCCTCAAGGAGGTTGGGCTATTTTCATGTTCTGTTAGCACATATTTCTGCAAGGAATTGCAGCATAAAATGAAGATGAAGACATACGGAGATGGTCAGGTAGTCGCAGCCAGCGAGCTCAGTGATCTCGCCAATGTTGCGGAAAGAGGCACCCATGACAATGGTCTTGTAGCCGAACTTCTTGTAGTAGTTGAAGATGGTCTTGACGGAAGCCACACCGGGGTCCTCCTCCTTGGAGTAGTTCTTGCCGGTGTGAGCCTTGAACCAGTCAAGGATACGGCCGACGAAGGGGGAGATGAGGAAGGCACCGGCCTCAGCGGCGGCGATGGCCTGGGTAAGGGAGAACATGAGGGTGAGGTTGCAGTTGATGCCGTGGTCGCGCTGGAGGATCTCGGCAGCCTTGATACCCTCCCAGGTGGAGGCGATCTTGATCAGGACGCGGTCCTTGGAGATACCCTCGGCCTCGTAGAGCTGTTGGTGGAAAGGTCAGTCATTGTGAACCTCAATCAGGGAGCTCGGGGGGCAACATATTCAGAAACACGCACCTTGATGATGTGGAGAGCCTTGTCGACGGAAGCCTTGGTGTCGAAGGAGAGGGCGGCATCGACCTCAGTGGAGACCTTGCCGGGGACGATCTCGAGAATCTTCTTGCCGAACTGGACAAGGAGGTAGTCGAGAGCGGCATCGACCTTCTCCTCGGGGGAGCCGGGGCCCTTCTTGGCATCGGCGATGGCGGCGTCGAGGAGAGCGCCGTACTCGGGCTTCTTGGTAGCGGCGAGAATCAGGGAGGGGTTGGTGGTGGCATCCTGGGGCTTGTACTTGGCCATGGTAGCGAAGTCGCCTGTTGGAAGCAAGAAATCGTTAGCATCATTGAAAACATGGTGTTTTGCTCCTGCATCGGAGGGAAGCTGGTGGAAGAAGCTTACCTGAGTCACAGACGACAACCTATACATTGCGCAAAGATGCAGCGGTTAGCAGCCCGTTCACCAAATTTTGTCGCAGAATACCGCAAAACAGATGCAAACACAATGAAGCATCTCGCATCGTCGCCAAATCCCATCAAACTGCGATGGTTCGTCTGGGAAGCTTCACAAAAAGCCCCCGAATCATCGGATGAGGGGTTTGGCGGGGTACGGTACAGGGGAAACAGGAATGACGGAACGTACAGTGCCAGTGGCCTTGAGCTGCTCGAGAGAGTTAGACATTTTGGGTGGTGTGTATGAGTGAATAGTATTAGGCGTGGTTTGTTGTTGGTGTTTTGAGGGGTATCTAGCAATCAAAGAGAAAAAGTCGGTAGATGTTTTGTTGTAGAGAAGAAGAAAAGGTGGAAAGGACTTGGGAATCCGGCGAAGTTATTGAAGGGCGAGTTCGCTTTCAAGTGGTGTTGGGGATGACGGGGAAAATGGCAACGTCTTGGCACGCTTCGCTAAGGTAGGACGTGAGTGGAATGCGGTGGATGGTGCTTGCAACGGAGCGAGGGGTCTTTGGTTCTTGTCCTGGTTTATTAATATGACACCTAGGGAATCCGCTTCACGGCCAAATAGCGGGGATCTCATCACCATCGTCATAACTTTCCATCCTGGTACGCATCCTGTTTGCATATCGCCGCCGCCTCAAGTTGAGCATGGACAGTTCCTGTCAATCCAGTTCCTTGTTCGTCCCGTCTCAATGTGTTCAAATACCAGCCCTGATCCTCCCTCGACTTTTCGTCGAGAATTTGGCCCTTCTTTCTGCGCTTCTTCTGCAAGGTCCGGAAACTCTCTCGGACATCAAAGCAGCTAGTCTCATCAAGGTAGTCCCTTGATCTATCACTTCCACGCCTTCTTGGAGAAGACTCATGTGATTCTTTGCTTTGACATTTCTCAATTCTTGTTCCCCTCTTCCCGTCACAAACCGCACTTCTCCGACCATTTGCCATTTCTGGCCAGCCCGGCCAGCACGGCCAGTTTCACAGAAGCCATGTGGCGAGTCCAAGTCATTGTTCGATCCGAGCACCCAAGCAGAGGCACCAGGCACCTCGATGGCCGCCTTCCGCCTCGGCCGCCAATGCCGAACTTTCCTCCCGGGTTCTGGTTATGGTCTCAGTTCTAGGGTCCAAAGAACCAAACCGTTTTCACCTTTTCCTCTTGGTCAACACCTTTCATCCGGAGCATCCAACACATCGTCAATCCCGCTTCCTCATCCCAATTCGGATCCCATTCCATCTCTTACACCACCACTGACCACACATCAGTCAGCATTGCAGCTAAACAACAGCCACCCGTCCTTCAGGCACACCGTCGTGGGTTGCGTCCCTGCGTGGGGGTTAGTCGTTTGGGACTTTTGGGGGTGCTTTCGGGGGTTGGGGTTTTGTTAGTGCGGCGTAGCGTGAATGTTAGTGATGCCATAACGTCACGCCCAGTCTTCGCTAGTCTCGGCAGTGACCCCATTCGGATCGGCCGGGGGTGTGTTTACGGGGCTCCACTGCTTTTATGTCACCAGTGCAGTGACGGTCATCGATGTCGTTTTTGGAACATACCGATACTTGCCTTCGTTCGTTGTCAATGATAGTCCTAGTATTTGAGTTGATTGTCAGTTTGGCAGAAGTGACGCCTATTAACCACCTCTAACAACAACCACATGGATCACACGCATCTCTTGATCCTTATCATTGGGCACTTTTGACATTCTGCCATGTTTCCAGCCCCCAGGAGACTTGCGGTTCCACAGCTCGGTGCAAATGGAGCTTGAGCTGACCAATTTACCCGGCCACGTTTCTGACAATCCAACTGCCTTTTTATCCGGCCGGCGATTTTTACGGCGAGACTCTCACGGATCAACACCGCCATAGTCCCTACCTATTGTTAGCTCCGGCGATCGGCAGTTTCTTCTTAACCACAACTATGTATATCACTCGTCATTCAAGTTCACAAATAGACATGTTCATATGACAAAAGATGGCGGTTGAGCATTTCGAAACCGAATCAATTATCCCTTGTTCTTTTCTCCCTTTTGATTATCATGAACACCTAAGGATATCATCTTTTGCACGCCTCTCACGCCCCCGCCTTGCCCTGCTCCTTATAGCTTGAGAAAAGCAACAAATCTCTCCGGCATAGCACACCTCTCCGACATAAGCACCGACAGACCCTAGTCCTCAGTGATATCGCCATACTCCCACATACCAAGACGCGTATCCTTGGCTTGTTCTTGAGCCTTCCTGTACGACTTCAATGTCTTCTCGAATACGGGGCTCCTTTCCCACGCCTTGAGCTTCATGGGAACCATGGCGTATCCGGTCGAAAGGATCTCACGGTTGAGAGATGAATCAGGATCCTTGGCATCCTTGGGGTCATAGATGGTAATGTAGCTGAGACCCTCCTTGTTGTCAATGTAGTCAAAGCTGCCGACGAGCTGTCTGCCTTCAGTCAGCTCGTAGATAATGTTGATGGCCTCATCAAGATAGTGAGTGGCGGAGGGAAGCTGGACGAAGGACAGGGAAGCATCAATGGCCTGGGCCTTGAGCTTCTGAACGCCAAACTGCGCGTCAAGAGGACGGAGCTTCGACCAGGGCTGCTTCTCGGAGTTGCCGTAATCGATGTAGACAACCTCGGCAACCTTGGCGGAGCGGTCGTTCGACCTGACGCGGGCTCTGTACCACTCGCCATCGGCGCTGAACTGAGCAGCGACAAGCTCACCGGTCTTGGGCGCGTCAGGGAGGGACTTCTTGTTGGCAGGGTTGCTGTGGTACTTCTTGAACTCGTTCATGAGGGTGGTCAAGGCAGCAGTGCCCTGGCCGACCTCCTGGATCTTAAGCTTGCCATTGGCATCGACGTTGGTGATGACGATGTCACGGTAGTCGTTGCGCTTCTCCCGGATGGTGAGCTCAACCTCGGGGGCAGCCTGAGCAGCCTCTTCCTCCTCAGCAGCGTCCTGAGAAGGATCCCAGTCCTTCCACAGACCCTTACGAGCCTCTTTGGCACGCTTCTCAGCGGCGTTGAGCTCGGCAGCATTACCGGACTTCTCGGCAGAGTATTGATGAACGGAAGCAAGGCCCTCCTCAACAAGGAGCTTGGCAAAGCTCTCGCGACCGATGTAAAGGTCACCAATGAAGCCGCCAACCTTGTCAATGTCGTGAACATCAATCTCGCAATCTCTCTGGTTGCAGCGTCGGTTGGCCAACTCAAGAGCCTCGTTTCCAAAGGGCTCACCCTCCTCCTTGGGGGTGCGGCCAGCACGGGGAGCACGGATACCGGCGAGAACCAGGGTAATCTTGACACCCTCGCGAGGGATCAAGACAGTGAAGCGAGAACCGGACTTGCAGTAGTCCACAATACCGGGAACCTTCTTTTGCCTCGAGAGGGTAGAAAGCTGAAGCTTGGCTTTTTGTGCGCTCTCCGACATGTCAGTGTACTGCTTGATCTTGGGGCTTTTGCCAGACCAGATACCCTTCTTCTCTTCCTTAGCCGTCTCCTGGGCAGCGAGAAGCTCGTCGTAGTTGGAAGCGCGATCAGTGTCATCCTTGCGGTGCCTGATAACGGTAGCGTAGCCCTCCTGGACAAGCATCAGACCAATGTTCTTGCCGTCACGAGTGACAGTGGCAACATCACGGGCCTCAAAATCATCCGTGGCAGCCTTGGAACCGTCAATCGAGACACGAACGTGCTTGCCAATGATCTTCTTGCGCAGGAACTCCTTGGCTTCCTCTCTCCAGGGAGCCTCGGAAGGCTCACCAGCTCTGGGACCGCGAATGCTGCTCAAGCTGAGCCTCTTCTCTTCGCCGGCCTTGTTCCGGACAAGGATGGTATCGGCACCGACAATCTTGGTGACAGTCACGTCGAGGTCCTTACCACCAGCAGTAGCCTTGGCAACGTGACCCTTGTGCAAGCACAGCTGAGCGGACTGGGCCTTCTTCTCGGCAGCGCGGAGAGCAGCCATATCAGGTCCAAGGAAGACAGAGTGGAAGTCGTTGCAGCGGGCAAGGCCGTCCTGCAAGAGGAACTCGGCAATGTTGCCGTTGGGGTGAAGGATGGTAGCAACGAGCTGGCCCTGAGGGCTGGCACCGACGATCTTGACCTTCAACTTGCGCTGAAGGAGGCGGGTCTCGACAAATCTCTTGGCCTCCTCGCCATATTCCTCGGCAGGCTGCGTCTGGCCCGTGGAGGGGTTGGTCCTGGCGGTCGATGGCGTCCTGATACCGGCAATGAGAGTCATGACCTGGTAGTGCTTCTTGTCGCTAAGTAGAAGACGGGTAAGGAGACGGTCTCCGCTAATGACCTTCTCAATGACAGCGTCCACGGTCTTGCCCTTCCACTGGTTGAGGAAGTCGGGGCCACCAAGGTCGTTCTGGACCGCTATGAAGCCATCCTTGCCAGCGTGAAGGCCCTTTTGTTCGTCCTTTGCCTGGGTCTCGAGTTCCCTAAGCTTGTCGATTTTGTCGAGAGTCTCCTCGGAGTCATCTTTCCTGCCAGCATCCTCCCTGACCTTGAGCCAGCCAGCCTTGACGGCGGCCTCGGGGAGCTCGGTTCCATCCTGGAGTTGCGCAACGCCATATTCCCTACCGGAGTTGGGAATGGTGTCTTTGGTTCCGAGTCAGCAATGGTTGATGTAGGAGCAACTGAGGCAAGAAGAGGGGACAGCGCAAAGCTTACAGAGTACAGTGCACTTGATGGGCTTGCCGAGAGTCAGTTCCCTGAGGAACTCACGGGACTGGAAAGCGTATGGCTCGTCGCCATCTTTGCTCAGACGGGGAGCAGTGACATAAGCGAGAGAGAATTGGCGCTCGAGTGCTGGGTTCTTGGGGTTGGCGAGGATCAAAGTGTCGCCGCTCAGCACCGATTTTACTTGAGCGAAGAAACTAGACATGGCTACAGATGATATATAAGGCGGGGCTCGTAAGGTAAAATGGTCGAGGGGTGGTTGGAAGTATTAGGATGTTGTACTAGAAGAGGGAGGTGTTAGGAAGGTATCATGACTAAGAATCTGGCAACCGAGGTGCCAACTGAGATTGCATTGGTCTCCGCGTCGTCTTCGAGACTCGTGTTCTCAGGCCGGTGTGCTTCCATGTAGCCTTGGCTTGGTGTTTGGATCATGCCGCGGTCCGGCCAGAAGGTACACAGAGAACGAGAGGGGAAGAACCAGTGGGGGAGGCTGTCTTGCATACCTAATAAATATAGAAGAAAAAAAGAAACCAACAAGAGCTCAACAAGGGGAAGGAGAGCTCTGGAAATCGTGATATACCACAGTAAAGCGTAGAGTTGTGATATGTAGAAGGGAGAGATCCTGCAGACGGCAAAAGAGGACGGAGAAAGTTCAAGTCGAAAGTTGAGACTTTGACCGGTTGGTGGATGGGACGGAAGCTCTCGAGATGCGGCCACTGCACTGGCCAGTGGAACGACCTGACAGAAGGACAGCTGTCGGTGTGTCACGATTTCCCTTTGCTGGCCCAATCTGGACAGCTTTCGCCATTTCATCTGTCCTCGCCCCATCTGAAATGTGGGGTAAAGCCCCTCAACAGCTGTTCTGGAAGCGCCTCCCCGCCAGGGGACTGGTTTCAGGGGCTGTCGCTCGGTACTTAAGCAGTACTTCAGCTGAGGGCTTAGATAGCAGAAAGCCAAAGTCTATAAGAGTACCTTGGACAGCCCCAGATATCTTGGCGTCTCATTGCACCACCACCACCTCGGCTCTTGTTATCTGCAACCTGACATGTCATCACTGAAGCCTTTCAAGGCGAGCTTCGTCTCCCACGCGAGGTTCGGTTTCGCATATAGAACACGAACCTCGGATTGTCAAAGTCCACGTCAAGCACAGCAAGAAGGACCATGACTAAGAGCTGGCCTCTCTCTTTCTACCATTTCTTATCTCATGCGTCAAAGACCAAAGCCTTCAGCTTCAACGTGACCACGCGGAAATTCAAATTTGACGATTTCCCAGCTTCGCCAAAGCCAAGGAACTCTATACGATCTGTTCCCGTGGCCAGGCCAAGACGTGCATAGTTGGGCTGGCGTCGAAACCAAGTTGGAGATGAAAGTTCCTAGTGTATACCCAGGTGGGACGTGTTGGTGATTACTCTTGGGCATGACTTGATCGTAGATTAGTATAAGATGGATATTCACGACAAGGAGGAGTTGCCAGATTGGAGGATCAGATGGAATCTGGGATAACTCTGGGGTTGAAAAAGTAACTTCGTAGTGGTGAGTGTGTCTGTGTGAAGGTGGGTGACTGTAGATTTATCAGTGAGCATAAATGTTTTGGAGATTAGAGAAGCTTTTGTCCAATTATTTATAACATCCATGTCTAAGATCACAGCTGTTCTCTTCTGCAAGCTTCCACTTCCGATTGCGTCGCCCGCAAACGATTGGAGCATATAAGCTGAATGCTGTGACAGCCCAGCTTCCCAAGCTCCCGAGCTAGAGCTTCAAGCAAGGATCAAGCTTCATAGAATAGGAACGGTTTGGGGAAGAGCTACATATGCAGGATTCATCGACGATGACAGACGACGTTTTTCGCTTTCATATGACCAAGATACTTTGAAGCTATATAGGTAGTTGTGAATTGCGACCAGGCAAGCAGTATGAATATTTTGGTGCCAATGGCAGTATAGCGATCGGTCTCTGCATATCAAACACTGGGTTGGATCACAGTCACAGTAACTTCCGAAATTGGCTGGCTTATTTTTTTTTTCACTTTTACAGTTTTATTCACGCTGCTTGACCACAGACTATCTCAGGTCACGTTGAAACAGTAGTCTAACAACGCAAATCATCCGACCAGTTGAGACGTTTACTGGGAGATACCAATGACGCCGCAGGCAGGGCGGGGACCGGCGTTACCAGTCTTGAGGGACTCCTCGTTGCCACCCTTGCCAAGGTCGTCAGTGCCGGCGTGGACGACGACGGTGCGCTGTTGGAAAAGTTAGCAAGAGGAAACATTGTAGGTTGTGAGCTGTGGGTGAACATACGCCAATGACGCTCTCGGGGCCAATGAGCTTGACGAGGTTGTCAGTCACGGTGCCCTTGGCGTTGCCCTGGGCATCGGTCTCGATGTTGCCGAGATCACCGACGTGGCGGACCTCGGCGGTGCGGTCACCGTGGGTGGTGCCATGGGGGTTGACTGCGGGTGGGTAAGGGCACATTGGTCAGTCTAGCGCTTTGATGATGATCACTTCCTCCCCTCTTCCACGTTACACGTTCCCCGGGCTCAGTTCACTTACAGTGAGGGCCGGCAGAGGTGCAGCCGTTGGTGTTGTCACCGAAGGTGTGGATGTGGAAGCCGCGCTTGGCGTTGGGGTCGTTGCCAGAGATATCGTAGGTGATGGTGGTGGGAGCGGACTCGGACTCCTGCTCGAAGATCACGGTGCCCTTGACGTTAGAGTCACCACGGACGACAGCGACTGGACGAATATGAAAGAAGAAGAGGTTAGCCGTACTGTCTTCTAGCCAATAATGCAGGGTCCCAGTAGCCAAAGAGGTTCTCCAAGTTCCTCTTGCGTCAATCGTCGAGGGAGGTGACGATTGAGGTACCCATCAAGGTGTCCGGCCATGAGCAGAAAACTCGCTCAAACCAACGCGTGGGTAACCGATCCCTCCACTCGGATCGTCTGATGGCGGATGGGTAGCCGCAAGGCAACCTCGAGAACGTGACGGTGGGATGAATGTGACGCATTGTAGACGGAATCGTGCTTACCAGCCTTGACCATTTTGACGGATTTAAAAGTGCTTGGGTAGGAAGCGGTTTGTTTGGGTCTCTGGAAGGTTGTGTGTTTACTGAAGCAGAAAAAGCAGCAGAGAAGATCTTGGGAGAAAAATCGGCTACGTTATACTTGAACCTGAAGGAGCGGGGAGCCACGGGGGAACAGCAAGGAGTCCGACGTCCGTCCGAGGATCGTTGGCGTCCAGGTGGGGTTCGTCAGGCAGGGGATGAACGAACCAGAACCCCGCATTGCCGTCATCTCGTTCTCGCAGTATGATTGAGTGGCGCTTACAAATTCGGCAGCAGTTCCGGCCACACTGGAAAGAGAGCCGTTATGAGGGGTCTTGGCCTTGTCATTGTCAGGACAAGGGGAAACATTGATGGAGATGATGTTATTTTGATGCCTCAACTCGAACGGGAGCTTGATCCAACTTTGATGTTTGAAATTGCCAGAGGAGAGCATTTTTTTCTCGGCATCTTGGGGTACCGAATGTCAACGACAGCATCAGCAGCAACAACCGAACATGACCTTCATTTGCTAGCAAGAAGCAACCGATGTATGTACGACGACATCGGCCAGCACTTTGGTGTCATTGATCGCGGGGCCGTTTCAGGCCAGCACACAATTCCATGAAGTGGGGTGTTTCCTCTGGCTTCCTTTCTGTTCGCACCATTTTGCCCTGATGCCGTTGATCCGACCATCTGATAAGATCTTGATAACCTCGATGCCGGTTGGAGACTCACACGATGACCTCAAAGTCTAGATTCCGAGCTGCCCATATGTACAAAAGACAGACCTAGGCCGTGAACACGGCGGCTGCCGTAGGGCTGAAAGCACCCGACCCAGCCGAATCCCAAACAGTCCTTTGTTGGATATTGCCGCGGCAAAGAGGGAATCCGAAGGCTGAGGCATTCCGCCTTCTGACACCACCGCGTCCTATGCCCGCGGTCTGCGCCAACAGTGAATACCTATTGCTAGAGACTTTGCTTGATGAGTTCAAAGCCGATTCCCCCGGACTATAAGATATCGGCTTCGAGCAGCCCAAGAAAAGAGATGATGCACGGGACCCTGCTAAACAATAAACAACGAGGGGACAGCAGAAAGTAGAACAGAGAGTTTGACAGGAGTCCCTGGCAATTCAATCAGATCCAGGGGAACATTTAAGCAAACTCGAAGCTGATTGGTCACTTTACTCTTCCTCTGTATGTAAACCAATTCGACAAACGCCCAGCAGCCGAGGCTGTACACGCGCTGCTTCATCATTTCGACGTGATCACTTGGCTACCCGTTTCCCTGTTTGAGGAACCATCGCTTGGATTAGTTGTGTTCTCTTTATATTCCGAGGTGACGAGTCATATTTGATGTAGTACTGTGCTTGCGCTTAGGTCAGTCTCAACCACAATACAGATCTGAGATGCTCTTGTGAAGATGGGATGGCGAGTGTCCAGATGGGCTAGAGTGTGACGACAGTGAGCCTAGGTTATATAATACGATAAGAGATAGCTTTGCTGCCCGTTTACACTAGCGTAACTGCTTGGGAGCACAGACCAACAACCCTTCCTTTAGAGCTGCCAGTTGTTTTGCGTGGGCTTGCTTGCTGAGGCGCGCAGACCTCATCACTTGCATCATGTCATTCTCCTGTAGACAGGCTCCAGACAGGTACCTTTGACTTGTAACTTAAAGCAGGTCGGTTGCCTCTCACGCACCTCACAAATCACAAGCCAAGAGAGAGGATGCCTTGCACAATGGGTTGCACTTCTATTTCGAAACCTCCATCCATTCGTCTATGTTCTATTAACTGCCGTAACACCATGACGTCTCACCACTAGGAGGCTATTCAACGGGCTTGGCTGGCCCAAGTCTGGACTGGGTGTGGCTTGAACTTTTGTTTTGCGCAGGCCGCCCTCCTTGAGCTGGTCTCCGTTAACTCGTCTTTAGAGCAGAAATCGACAACAGATCAGTTGTCTAATTTCTCACCCTCCTATTTACGGTAAGGACTCTTGCCAAACCCTGACTCTTCCCTCATCTGATCAATCAGATCTCTGGCCTCCTCGAAGCCCTCGGGGGTAGGCTTGATCCCGTAGGAAAGCATAAACCCCTTCTTGCCGCCCCAGGGCTTGAGGTACTCGTAGTCAGACATGGGTTGACCGGGGTTGATTTTGGAGAACTCGGTGACGCTGGAGATAGGAGGAGGGTTTAGGTCAGACCCATAGAGAAGCGAAGGTTGGGTTTCACTTACTTGGAATTGGCAGAGGATTTTCCTCCAGAGGAGCTGTTTCCTTGGGCGTTGGAAGACTGACCCGTGGAGCTACCCTTGTTGTTGTTGTTGCTGTTTCCGTTGTTGCCAGCCATCTTGACTTTTGTCCGGCTGGTGGGAGTGAGATTGTTAGACTTGTCAGAGCAAGACTGCAACACATGCAATGGCGCTGGTAATCTGGATTGTATTGAAGTGATGAAGATGGAGAAGTCCAGATGGAATCCCACCAGGCCACCAGGCCTGGGCTTTATACCAGAATGAAGTCATCGTGACTACCATGTGCAGCAAAGCACCTGCTGTTTACCTGACAACCAAGTGAGTCGACTGTCAGTAGGCAGGACTAGTCAGAGGAACATTGTATAAGTGCTTGACACTCTAACTATGGGAGTGGCCTTCCTCTGAACGGGAACTGAAGAGACAGAAACCCAAAAGTTTGAAGCGACAATCCTGACCAAGTTGCAGTCAGTCCCCGCGCTGTGACAGGGCCGAAGACAGCGCCAGCCTTGTGTGCCGTTCTGATGGGAGGGAGATGTCGGTGGGAGCCTGGAACCTAGGTAGTCTACCTGTACCCTAGTTCCCTTGTTCCACACTTCCATCCATCAACCCGTGCGCGCAATGTACAAGGCCCCTAAATTACATACCCAATGGAACTGTGATAAACCTAGAAGGAACTGACCGAGGAGAACAGCTACCTAGGACCGGACTGGGGGTCTTACAGTCCCGGGCAGGTTTTACCTACCCGAGCAGACGTTACACACCTGATTGAAGGCGCCGTCAGGGCAATGGTTTACCTTGGCTGCCAGGTGTTATCGACCGCCATCTGATACCTCTATACCTAGTACGTACTCTCTATCCTACTACTAAGTCATACACATCACTTCTCGCCTGCGCCTTGTGACAGGCCGACGACTTGGACGTTCGACAAGAGTCAGACGCCGGAGTCCGACTCAATGTGATTGCATACCTCTACATCAGTCTGCGTCCGGCAGGCATGCCAGCCACCCGAGTTGCAGGATCCTACATTGGAAGGGCACCTTTACAGTAGTTTTCCAAAATCACATCAAAACCATCTCACCCAACTCGCTGGCGGATGAAGTAATCATTGGTATAAAGACGTGTACATACGATTACGATACAACAAAAAGATACCCGTCGGATATGATATAACGGAGGCCCCACTGGCCGCGCGCTAAATGCCACCCCCAGACTGCATCTGACTGACAACAAGCTGTTATCCTACCCACGTGCATCCCATTCAGACCTTACCACCACCGAGCGACCTTGCCTGAATCCGCAATCCCGTCGCCATTGTTTCCGACACTTAATTTCGCTCTCATCGACCCGTCACGGCCTTGCGTACGGTGGAAGGTTGCTTGAGAGCTCGACGCCACGAAGCCATCGCACGACGCTGCTCGCCTGAACCTCGGCGCCGTCCATCGCGGTCGTCTACCATCTATACACCCAACAGTCAACACCGACAACGACGACGACGACGACGACAAACACTCGAGCGCCATGTCGTTTCGCGGCGACGATTCACGCCGCTATGGCCATGTGCCGCCTGCTCAATACCCCGTCGCCGGCGCCGCGCAGGACAGCAGCAACCCGCCGTATCCTCCCCAGCGACGCATGAGCTTCAACACGGGCGACGATGCCGCCATGTTCGACCCGAGCGCTGCCCGCCAGCAGCCCGCCATTTACACTGGAGTCCCCGTTGTCAGCAGGGCCGAGGAGGAGCTCTTCCTCGGCAGCCCCACGTCACAGGATGCGCCGGCCGCCCAAAATCGCCTCAGCTACAAATCTCAGCATATCGCCATGGCTGGCTATCAACACCAGTACCAGGCTCAAACAAACGCGCCGCCGCCCGCACCGGCACACTCGACATATAACCCCCAGGCCTTTGCTCGCACTCAATCGACCTCCCTCCCGTACCACCCCGCCCCGGCCTCGAGATACGGCGCTCCGACGAGCCCGACCTACGCGCCCACCCCTACAACCTACACTCAGCCAGCTTATAACCCGGCGGCGTACGCCAACACAAATACGGCGACGCCCCAGAGACATTCTTCGGTCGCTTCAGTGGCTTCCTCGGGATACAATGGATACACGTATGGCTATACTTCTCCCGGCATCCCGCAGTCTGGCTTTGGGCAATCTCCCCAGTCGGCTACCGCTCCATCCATACCCAGCTATGAGCCTGCCCGTAGTCCACAGTATCCTCCGTCCTCTGCCACCGCCACATCACCGCAATATGACCAGTCCTACCCCCCGGCGAATGCGTACAACACTCAGCAGTACTACGGGTCCTATCCCGTGAATGCCTCGGGCATGGCGTATAACACCATGACATCTCAGGCGCCCTATCCCACTGCACATGTTCAGATGCCCGCCGGACCTAGTTACGCTTCTGCGGATCACGCCGCGTTTTCCGGTCGGAACTCTAGATCGGATTCCCAGGTCTCTGCGCCATCTCCTCCGCCGCATTCACAAGCACCCGGAGGGCTTACAAGACACCCGACAAATGCTCCGCTGCCTAGCCGTCCCATGGATGACTTGCCAGAGCACCATAGCTGGGGGCCCAATGGGCAAAGTAATGAGCTGCAAACCCAAGACGCCTTGTTCGGTGATATCATCTCGGAGGTGGAGTCACGACAGTACCGTGGCGTTAATGGCAACATATCAGAGGACGACCAGGGACTGCACCGCTACAGTTCGACTGCTTCGACAAATGTGGGATCCGCTGCGGCGGTACATCGCTATCCTTCTAATGCATCGACAGTGAACAGAAATGATATCCCCGATACCTATCCCAATACTTACGACTACGATGACGACGAGAGCGACCCCGAAGGTGCTGCTGGCCTTCTAGCCATGCAGGAGGACATGGACGACCGACGTTTTGGCTTTGGTGGGATATCGTTCCCGACTTATATGGAGCCTCCGGCAGCGCAGCAGCAGACCTCGCCGACACACCCGATACAGCCGCCGGGACACCAACGGGAGTTACCACCGCCGCCTGAGGAACAAGGTACGGACAGTGATTTTGGCGGAATGGATCTCGGCTTGTATGGGGGTGGCTATGCGGGAAACCTGCACTACGGGAATGAAGTTGGCTCCCCACCCGCAACTTCTGCCCACTTTGACCAAGGGCCCAGGCCGTTGCCATATCCGCAAAACACGGGAAGCGAGTATGCTCCCTTCTCCCAAGCTGCGGTTGACTATGGTGGAACCGGTGGCCTTCAGGCCCCGCAAACACACCGGCTGAGCTTCGATGAGGGAGATGAGCGTGTCTCGATTCACTCCAGGCACAGCGGAAGTGACTCGCCTACGAAGGAAGAGTATCCCGATATGTTTTATCATCCTGGGATATCTAATCGGCCTCTTCCGGCTGTTCCTCCTCTTGGCGAAAGCCGTCCAGTACTGTCGGTAGTGCCCCCTAGTAGGGTCGCTTCTCAACAGGGGTACAATATGCATGTAAATCCTCAGCGGCTCATGTATGACCAACAAGGTCAAGCTGCAGTGGAGAGATCGATATCACTTTCCAGCCACAGCAATACCCCTCCTGTCCATACACCGGCACGATCCAGAACCGATGCCGCTGAGGAGCGGAGGAGAGCATTGAAGCATGCTAACCAGCATCATTCTCATCTGAGCCACCATAGTGTGTCTCAGGATGGCTACGACTCTGGGACACCAACGTCGCTTGCTGCCTATGATATGATCACCTTGCCTGGCAGGAAGAGGAAGTTCATTCCATCGAAGCTCACGGCTACGGAGATTAAGCGTTGCGCCGAACCGTGGGCGCTCAGTAGCGTTACTGCCTGGATTCGTGAGATGGCAGACGGCGAAGTGGACCTCAAGAGAAAATCCATCGAAGAGGGAATTGTGAAGCTTTTCTGTCACAAGGTTCCTACCATGAACGTTGCTGACGCGGAAAGTTTGAGTGCTACAGTCGTGGACTCGATGTTTGCGTCCGGTCTCTTGATTCCAGATGAGGAATGGGTCAGGTTTGGAGCCGGCCACATGACAGGTGTCTTGTGGCAACTCACTGGCCATGGTTGCTACGCGCCCAAGTTGCATGAGGCTGAAGAGTCTGCCCCTAAACTTAACGATAACGGTATTCCAGTAAGGTGCTACTCGCATCACTGCGGTAGAACGCTGAAGAAGGCCAATCTGGATCACCTGCTTTCTGATGATCCAGTGGTTCAGGACTGGGCGACCTTCCATGGAGTCAAGCCGGAGGATTGCGAAAAGAAGAGCAAAAAGGAGATTGAGAGACAAAATGTTCTGCACGAGATTGTCACCAGTGAAGAGGAGTACATGGCCCAGCTCGACGTCGTTCGGCTCCTCTACAGAGATCAACTCCGCGTGCACCAGCCCCCTGTTCTTCCCAACAGCAGGAGGGACAAGTTTCTGGAAGCAGTCTTTGGCAAAGTCGATACGGTGCAGCAGATCAACAAGGACCACTTGCTTGCCCAGCTGAAGTATCGCCAACAGGAACAGGCGCCCTTCATTGTTGGGTTTAGTGACTTGTTCAGAGAGTGGATTCGCAAGGCCAGGCCCATCTACATCGAATACTGCTCGTCTTATCCGAATTCGGAGTACCTCATCCGAAAGGAAAGTAATAGGAATATTCTCTTCCGTGAGTTTCTGGGACACGTACAAAACCATAGGCGGTCCAAGCGTTTGGGATGGACCACGTTTGTGAAGGCGCCCATTACACGTCTGCAAAGATATTCCTTGTTGCTCAGCACGGTTCTGAAGAACACGATTGAAGACAGTGAAGAGAAGCAGAACCTCATCAAGGCAATCGACGAGATCAGGTCAGTCACAAAGGAGTGCGATGACAGGGTTGCTGAGATGACCAAGAAGGTGTCCTTGCTTGAGCTACAACAGCAGCTAGTCCTTCGACCCGGTTTCCAATCAGTCCTCAATCTTGATCACCTTGGGAGAGAGCTTCTCAAGCAAGGCGAGCTTCAGCGACAGGGTTCCAAGGGAGTACGCTGGGTTGACACACAGGCCCTGCTGTTTGATCATTATTTCATCTTGGCCAAAGCGGTCTCAACCAAGGACGGGAGGAATGAGAAGAAATACGACGTGTCGAAAGAGGTAAGCCCTTGTGCGATATTTCACCGTGTACCCTGCTGACAATTGTGTACAGCCTATACCCATGCCACTCCTCTTCCTGGAAAGCATGCACGACGAACCTGTTACGAAACAAAAAGGTCTCGCAGCACCTCTGACCCGTACAGCGGCTACCGCTGGATCCGGGACACAGCTTAACAAGATTGCCTCTAATGGAGGCGATCGGCCCGGCCTGGAGCATTCAGCAACAAGTTCGTCTATGGGATCCCTCAACACCGTTACCCGTCTAACAAGTTCAGGTGTCGACGATGGAAAGATCATTTACCCCTTTAGGATAAAACACCTTGGCCACGAGATTTACACGCTCTACGCTTCCTCTGCCCTGGACCGCTCGGAGTGGTGTAAGGCGATTGTGGACGCGAAGACAAGACACGCCGAAGCGCTACATGCACAGAACGCCGAGCCTTTCCGCTTGCGAGTTCTTTCTGACGGTGCTTTCGCGTACGATTCTTATTCGACCTTCGGCAGGCAGCCGGGCGTGCCGATTAGTGGGACACCATTGGACAGGGCGATACGAGGAATGGAGGAGGTATACGGTAAAGGCCGCGGTCCCCCGCCGGTATGCAGAGCTCAGGTAAACTGTGCTACCGCTTTCAAATCGTTCGGCAAGTCCATCATCGCCATTGGCACGGATTATGGCGTCTACATCTCGGAAGCATCCAATCCCCGAGGCTGGACACGCTCTGTCCAGATCAGCAAGGTCACCCAGATCGCAGTCCTCGAGGACTTCTCTGTCTGCATCCTCATCTCCGACAGGTCACTCATCTCCTACCCCCTCGACGTGATCGCGCCCGTCTCCAACTTTCCGTCCCCCGTTCATGATAACCCCAGACGGGCTCCCCAGCGTCTTGCCAAAGATGTCACCTTCTTTGCCACCGCCCGCATGAAGGACCGTACCCTTCTCTTCTACAAACGCAAGGAAGGCATGCACAACACCTTCAAGGTCCTCGAGCCCGTCTTCCAAAAGGCAACCGAAAAGAAATCCCGCATCTTCGGCAGCCGCAAATTCGGCTCCGGCGCGACCGAGTCCTTCCGCGACTACGACGAATTTTACATACCCGCCGAGTGCTACTCGCTCAACTTGTTCCAAAGCTACATTGCCGTGGCCTCCGCCAAGGGCTTCGAGCTGCTGACCCTCGACAAAAAAGTAACCCAGTCCATCCCGCGCGATCTCAACCTCCCCGCCATCGCCAACATCGCCTCCCGCATCAAGGACCAGCGGCCCTTGGGCATGTTCAAGCTCAACGACCAGGAATTCCTCCTCACCTACGAGGACTGCGCCGTCTACGTCGACAAGCACGGCGAGATCTCCCGCACTTTGATCATGGAGTACTCGGGCAAACAGAAAAAGGCCAAAGCAGCCACCATGTTTGGCCAGTATCTCCTCTTGTTCAACGAGGATTATGTCGAAGTCCGCAACGCCGAGAACGGGCGCTTGCGGCAGATCATTGCCGGCCGCGATGTAAGGTGTTTGGACTACGGGTTTAGAGGCCCCACGGGCAGTGGACAGCAGCATGCGCAGCCGCATACTTTGTTGCAGGCGGGAGTACTGCAGGATACCAAGGGGACGGTCAAGATTTGCATGAGTCATCCTGAGGTGCCCGGTGGACAGATTGTGTTGGAGATGTTGCTTAATGATGGGCATGCGGAGAAGGCTTAGATGGCTGGGGTGGGGAGTGATGGGGATGAGGAAGGAAAGGTGGATGGGGCGAGGTTGGGTGGGGATGGGTTGTAGATTTTGGTGGGGGATGAGCAAACGGTAATAAGTAGACTTCTGTTGGAGAACCGGAAAGCGGGTGGTTTGGTGGTTTGATTCATACGAGAGTATAAAGCATGGATAATGTGTCTGATTGTTGACTGATTGAACGATGGAAGAGCTACCAAGATGCTCTTGTTTTTCCTTGTTCTTTCATGCGTTTCTTTGCTTGTCCTGTGTCAGTTGAACAGTGGGACAATGGATTTGGGTTGACTCGAGGGCGCAATGGAAAGGGCCGGGTTTATGAGCACGCGTGGAGCCTGCTTGGAGAATATAATATCTCTTTCTTCGAATACCTCTTATTCTTGAAATGAACAGTTATTACTATGTCGATGGCGGGAAAACAACTTTACCCCTCGGGATGCCCAAAGGATGGTAAGATAGACGTGTAGTGATTACAAGGACACGGATATTTTAGGGTTTATAGAGACCGGTATGATAGACCTTGGATATATCTCTTCGGCCTCGATTCAGACTCTCTTCAGACTCCTTCCACTTCTCTCTTTACCTCTTTCTTCCCATCTTTCAACATAGCTTTCTCGTCATTTCTCTCTTCATTTCTCTCGCCACCCTTTCCTCACTTTCTGTTGTATTTTCTCTTTACCAGTTTTATTCCTATTAATTTGTTCCGTTCGCTCTCATTACAGCTTCTGTAGTGCAGTCACCGCGATATATCACATTGAGTTGCTGAGCTGCCACCTTCGGTTACTTCAGCTGTACCCTTTTTTTGCAGGAACATGGCATGGTTAGATAATGGTCTGCCCGCTATAACATCTGCTCTCTTCACACCTTTACTAAAACTCTTCTTTCCCGGAAGCACTTACGAGGATTAGATGGAGGCGAAAACAGAGTAACTTGCACATAGTTCTCTACAGGAACATGCATAATATTGTTCATTCGGTGATATTCTCGCAACGACAAACGCTCAAAAGTTCATTATCCAGCCCCAGGGCAGTACATCGATCTTGCACTTACGTCCATCCATACCTAAGCCCATCCCACCCATTAAATCGACATCACCTACTGATACACTTCAAAAAAGGATGAGCGCAAAACATAACCAAACAAAGTAAACCACATGCTGCCTTTCTCCAAACTCATGCGTATATGCAAATGACGAGTAGGCCTAATAGCCGCTGAAATGCCCATGCTGGGACAACGCTCTGCGCCGTGTGCTCTCCATACCCAAATTAAGAAACGCCTGTAAAATGCAACTGAACTTACGCTAAAATTCTCAGAGTAACCAGGTCTTCTGGCTTCGGTAGAGGATTCGAAAGGTACCGGTGGCCCTGCTATATTGCGGGGGCACAAATAGTCCTTCTGGGACAAGGTTGTCTTCTATGACTGATCCTCCTGATGATTCTTGGGGTGAAGGGTCTGGGAGCCTCGCTAGCGGCGGTGCCACACCCCATGGATCATCCCCATCCGACACCAGTCCGAAAAACTGCCTTATCCGCCACTAACGGGTTTCCTTCACCTTCCTGTGATTATCCTTTGCCAACAGTAGCGTGAGTTGGCTCTTCGATCTGCCAAAGGGAATCGTTGGAGTGGTGCTTGGAGGTGTTGGGGAGAATGCTTCGTGGAGAAGCGAGGGCGACGGCCTCGACCGGCGCGACACAAAGTCAGGTATATCTCGGGCTTCAACCAAAGACGATGTTGCTATCACGTCGGAGTCAAACTGCCCCTGAACAGTGGTGTCGGACACCTGTGTCGTGGGTTCCTCGGTCAAGGCCTGTACATTCGGAATCTCGCCGGAAAGTCTGTGAGACATTGCGTGTGGTGATGAATAGGGGAGCTCCCCTGACATCCTTTGAGAAAACAACGGGACTCTGAGCGGCGGCCGAGGTGAACCAACTATAGACTCTTCGGTGACACGTGTGGTGCGTGTTCTCGCTGGTGAGGGTGTGTCACTTCCACTATCATGATCAGCCACGAACCCAGCAACAGGCGCACGACGTGGCTTCTTTTCCACACTATTCCTCCTCGTAGCCTCCTGTGTCGTCGGAACATTCCGCTCACTACGAGGTAAGCTGGGAGACCGGGCAGGCATGAACCCGGAACTAACGAACAATGGTCGCCGCTCTTGAGAGCCGATAGTTACAGGCAGAATCCCACCAGAGGAAGGTCTTCTTGTAGGCCTCGCCGGCCTCTTTCCGGCTGCCTTAGCACTCGGCGCCCTCTGCTCGTCTTGGGACAATACTGAGCCACCTTGCGAGCTCCGAGAGGAATGATCTACTGACGTTGAAGCCGGGACCTCTGCTACCTTTGGGACCGGGACCTCTAAGGGTGATTCTACCAAGGTCGAAGTTGGGGACGCCACTGTAATCGATGGAGGAGACTCCTGGAAGGGCTCTTCCTCTACAGTTGGCGACCGAGTACTTTGATGAGACTGGTCTGCTGTCACCGGCACCTTACGCTGTTGGGTATTGGTTGCAGTTGATGACTGTGAACTTGTCCTACGTGGAATTACCGGCCGTCTTTTCGCTAATTTTGTATTCGCCACGACCTTTTTTCGGGCGGTTACAGGCTTGCTAGCTTTACCACCTGCAGGCGCAATAGGTAACTGCGCGGTGGGCTTTTCGGGCTTGGTTGGCGATGGAAGCGGCGGAGGTCTCATTGTAGTTGGAGATTCTGCTGTTGTTTTTGTCTTTCTCGCAGTCGGTAATGGCGGAGGCGGCATTGCTGACGGCTCTGGCACGCCCTTGGTGGTGGACACACCCTCTCCGGCACGTGGTGGTGAAGCGAACCTGGCAGTATGTCGAGGTCCTGGTACGGGAGCGCTATGCTTTTTCAGGATCGGGTGTGGCGGAGGTGGCCTTGAGGAAGATGGGGTTGGTGCTTTCATTGCGACCGTAACATCACGGCTCTCTACCCTATTCTTCTCCAGTTGTTGTGTGGATGCCGGATCCTGTCCATTCGCGTTAATCTGCTCCAGAAGGGCCTTGGATCTCTGAGGCTCAGTTAGCATCTTTCGGCCCTGATACCTATTAAGAAAAAAAACCGACCTCTAGCATTTCACGACTTCTTTTTGGGACCACGAGAGGCACATCTGTTGGACCGGTTGAGATGTCTTGATAGAGCCTGGCGAGAGTGGGACCGGAAAGCTTCCTTCTATTGCTGCCCCAAACATGCCACCAAAAGTTCTCTAGGCGGAGGTGAGTGGGATCGCCACCAAGTTTCTTGGAGATCACCGTGTATGCTAAAGATGCGCATTAGCCAGATTCTTGGGGGTAAATGCTTGTATGAGTCCAAGTCTCACCGTTCCAGTAATGCCATAATACCTCGGAGGAAACGACCGATAAACTAGCCAGTTGAGTGTAGACCTCACTAGCGTTGATAATGATGCCTTGCGGCAGTACCAAATCCATGGCTGAAGGACAAGACGGGCGCAAAGGACGACGGGCACCTCAGGGTAGCCCGACGACCATTGCTTACAAGCCAAAGCTGCCGGCTTCTTTTGTGGATATCGACACTAACGCAGCAGATCCATTGAAGACTGCTTGGGAAGGAGGGGGGCCAGTGACGGAGGATGTCCAGGGAGGTTTGGAGTTTCTGAACGAAAGAAGTCAGAAAACATGCAAACAGATTCAGTTGGGGCACGAGACGTGAGTAAGATGGTTAGGCAAGCGCAAGGTAGCAAACAGACGGCTAAACGCGAACAGGGCAGCAGGAGACCAGCCGAAAAAGGTTAGGAAGAAGTGAGTGGAAGTTGAGAAGAAGCAGGGACAAGAACAATGATGGGGGGACATGATGTTATCTCATATTTTGGTACCTGGACATGCCGGACATGGGCAAGGACTGTGAGTCCAAGCACACAGCACCACTGCTTTATTCTGCTCTCGGAGTCTCGTACTTTTGCAGGCCAAGTGCCCGATGTCCGCACCCACATGCGCAGCACTGGCAACAGTGACTGGCGGCAAGCATGACAAGGTAGCTGCCCTGCCCTGGCGGTGACGATCGAGCTGAGCTCAAGACAAGTGGAGGCTAGTACCGCACCACAACTGAGAACATCAATGCTCCGAAGGCTTGGGGGCCTGGGAGCTGCCAGCTGAGCTCAGCCGGGTAGGTAGTGTAGGTATTTACTTGATTGCAGGAATAGTGTAGTGCGGTGACGGGGGGCCGTGGCACGCGACGGAACATCACGTACCAACGCAAGTGTGTGTCTGTCTCTGCCTCTGAGGCGGGCAGATGCCGGACAGTACCGTAGGCCACCCGGGGGGGATTTTCAAGGTAAAGCTGAGACACAAGTCCTGGGCGCGGTTTCGAAGAGGAGGGGTGTTAGAGGCGGGTACCCAACGTGGTAACGTCGCTGGTGCGAGGCCGCTGAGATGCTCCGAGTACTAGAAGTAGAAACAGCGAGGAAGTTCCGCATATCCGGGTCATATCAACCCGACCACCAGCTGTACTGTCGTTAGGCTGCGAGGGCGCCGCGTGCTCATTCCAAGTTGGTGTTATGTGCCCGTTGGCGTGTACAAGATAGATATTCCGGGTGCGGAAGAATACCTACTTATGTGTTTAGGTGTGTGTACCTAGAGGTAGGTACTGTAGTCAGGTTGAAAGAAGTGAACGAAGTGTGAAAAGTTCAAACAAGTCAGCCCAGCGGAGGAACGAGGGGAAGCAGGTGCGGTTAGGTTATGAATGGATAGAGGTACTTAGCTCCCGTCATGAACAAAGTGGAAGAAGCACCATCATGTGTCTCGTCCAGGGAAGGCACGTCTGCTGCGCTAGGGCTCCAGGATCTGGGGCCTGGACTGACAGGGGGGGAGGAGCGCTTCCTGTTGGTGCGCTGGGCACGCAAGGGAACAATGAGTACTAACAGAAGGTCTGCTAAACACAGTGTTACAGTGTTAGTGTCATCGCGGATGCCGAAATAGGTGTTGAGGCCCGGGCTCCACTACCTCTTGGTACCCAGTGGTTCTAGACAACTTCAGTTGAAATGATGCAGATGAGATCCGGGCCTGGTTGTTCCTCTTCTTTTTCACCCTCAAACCTCGCCGTGCATTAGGTTCATTCATCACAGTATTTCTGATTTTTCCCAAGCTCGTAGGCCCCAAGGCGACACGGGGTAGGTATGGACTCCCATGTTTCCCAAACAACAAGATATCCCCACATGGCATTCCTAGGAGTCAATTGAGGTGGCAGGTGACAGATCGACTGCCCTGACTTGTGACAGGGGCATGCTATAGCTGCTGTAACCGTAGAGTAGCTTCCCTGAGCAGCCCGGTACGTAACCCCGAACTGGCTTTGGCCATCCAGGTTCTCACTCTTGCACTTTGTCATCGAGTTTTCTTTTTTCCTCGGTTCCTGTGTACCTACCTCTAAGAAGGAATACCGACTAAGCATTGGTCATTTTACCTTCAGTTATTCTTGTTGTCCTCTTGATGGGATTACAAACGAATCAAGATGTCGTCGTCGCCCACTGCAGCCTAGGTAGCTCAGCTCTACTCCCCCCTCGCGCCTCCAGTCCCCCACGTCTTCCTCCCTTCGGATAGATGGTAACCATCCAACACCCGGCTTCTCAAGGTCCCGAGATCGAGGTAACTTTGGCAGAATAAGACTATAGCAGTAACAGCCTGCCGCACCAAAAAGCCTTCTGTTACATTCGGTCTAGAAAACGTTCGGTACCTGGCGGCTAGACTTTCATTTGTCGCCCACAGCCAGCTATCAACACCTAGTGTACAACGACCTGCCTTCCTTTCTCGGCTTCATGATCAGTCATATCGTCTTTCCCTCTTCCACGGGACTGTCCAACGGGGTTGCCCAAGACATGCCGTCTCGTATCCTTTCCCGTCTTGTCTCGCCCAGCTGACTTGCAAGTCGTGGCACAAAGTGCAACAAACCCATGTATGGCTACCTAGCGGCCTAGCCCTTCACGACAACAAACAAGCTGTTTGGATATGTGGAAAGTTGTGCTTCAAATAAGTGCAGCCGCACTCTCTGGTGACTGATCTGCCGTTTGCGGGGAGGGACGGAGACGGGGACGTTACCCTTCCTTCCACCCAACGGATAACGGGTCGAGACGGCCACCAATCACGGGGGCTTCACGGGTCGTGTGACCCAGATCACGGATCCAAGGGTCAGAAAACACAACCACACCTCATTCTCAAGTACATAGATCCAGTCCATTGGTAGGAAAAAGATTGACTTCGGCATGATATGATCAGCCAAGCACGCGGGAATCTTCGCAACAACTCTTTTATGAGACGGATTTTCTGCCTATCGACAACGGTTGTTGGGCCGTAAGTCATCATGAGCCGCAAGAGGCCAAGACATGGTATGAGATAAAGCGGGGGATGGAGAGACAATATGACATGCCATCCATACCAACCTTCTCAGCCATCTGGGTTCACGATAACGACACTTGCTTTACATTTACATATTCCCGCCTCGAAGAAAGGAAGACGTTCTGACTTTTGCCACCGGCCAGTCTTCCGGCCCTCGCTACTTGCAAGATGGCTTCCTCTCGCATGTCTGGGAGCCCTATCAGAGGCGTCTGTTGGGCTTTTACATCCCGACATCAATTCCATCCTGTGCCATGCTGTGGAATTTGAGCTCAGCTATGGGTCTCCGATCAGCTGCTTGCCTTCCCCTGTGCGTATCACACCGCCAACCGAGCGCGGCTCAGTTACGCTGCTTGTTTTCCCCCTTCTTTTCTTTGGGAGTTGGAAAGCTGGAGACGTTGGTGTCGAGATCATGTTATGCCTGTGGTCTGGTTTTAGTTTGGCCATCGTCACTGGCTCCTGGTCCAGATAGATGTCACAAGTCATGACTGAGACCTATGAGGGGAAACGTAAATAGGTGGAGAAATCTCCACGTTTTCTTTTTCTGCGGCAGCTAGAGATTAGCGTACAAGGTCAAGGTGAGGGCCAATAAGGGTTGAGGCTTTGGTGAAAAACAGGCGAAACAAGAATAGGAAACTCGTAGCGAGCGATAAACGAGGAAGATCGGGAGGAGATCATCTCCGGATGACTCGATGAGAAACATGGGGCTTTCTAATGATAGTAGAGTCTAAAGCAAGGGTAAAGTGCTTTTAACCACAGTAGAACTAAGGTCCGGTAAAGCAGTGGCTTTAAAAAGATATCGCGACTTGGTTGATGCCTAAGGGTGGTAACAAAATGGCAAAGTAGTCTAGTCATCTACACGCGGATATCAACCAACGGATCAGAGCACCCGAGAATACAACTTTATAGTTGAGCTATGTCTTACCATATCCAAACAGCTGGAACATGTTCCCGTTAATAGCTACCGACATGGTGCACAGATACGGCCAGAGATGAACACTAAGCACATAAATTCGAATACACGAAACAATGCTGTTCGATTATAGCTGTTCACATCCACCACCCTCTACCGTTTATTTCACCGTTTCCCTCCCATCCTCAATACAGCCATCCAACCGCATCCAACTACTTTTCGTCGCAAGACCGAATCCCCTTTTCCTCCCCATGCCACTTATGTACAAGTATACCCCCCATCAACCCTCAAATCCGCCCCCGTCACATACCGACTAGCATCCGACAACAAGAATGTGACTGGACCCATCAAATCCTCGGGGTTACCCATCTGGCCCTGCGGGATCAGCGAAGTCCACTTCTCCTTCAAGTCCGGGTTCTCGTCCAGGATCTTTTTGGTCAAAGCCGTGAGCATGTAGCCGGGGGAAATGCAGTTGACACGGATTCCCGCTTTGGCCCATTCTACCGCGAAAGAGGCGGCTAGGTGTCGGACGGCCGCTTTGGAGGCGTTGTAAGGAGTTTGCGGCTGGGGCACGTTGACGATGCTGCCGGACATGGAGCCTATGAAGACGAGGGAGCCGGGGGAGTTGCGGTCCATCTAAGTTGAGTGAAATGGTTAGTTAGTCTTGTCTTCCAGGACGAACTTATTAAGCTGTGGCTTGTCTTGAATAATTTGAACAGAGGCAGTGCGACTTACCAGATGCCTAGCAATAGCCGTAGCGAATAAGTACGTCCCGTCCACGTTGACGCCCCAGAGCTTGCGCAGCCTGTCTACTGGGTAATTGACCGCTTCAAAGTTCTCTGTGAAGCCGGCAGAAGTGACGAGGTTGTCGATTTTGCCGTGCTCGGCGACGATCTCGGCGATGCAGGCGTCGACGGAGGCTGGGTCGGAGACGTCGGCGTAGTGGGCTGTTACTTTGGGGATTCTGATGGACGTTAGTTGAGATGGTAATGAGTAAAAATCGTGAGAGGGGTGGGAGGAAAGGAGAAACTAAGGGGAGGAGAGGAAAAGGGGAGTAAAGAAGAGATAACGGACTTCTTGGCGGAAGGATAGTCCTTCTTGAAGGTCTCGACGATGTTTTGGGCTTGTTTGGTTGCTTCTTCTTCTGTTTTTTGTGAGGTGGTTGTCAGCGCTTCTGTTTTCTTCTTCTCAGGATTGCTCTTCGTTTTCACTTGATCCTCCCCGCTGTCTCCCGTGTTCCCATTCTTCACCATTACTTCACTTTCACCTTCACTCTCACCCCCTCTTCTCTTCACCATGCCCCTGTGAAAATCCTAATCCTTCCTTCAACATTAATCACCTCCCAACCCCGAGAAAAAAGAAACCAAAAAAAAAACTCACTGTTCAAATCAACAATAGCCAAATCCCCACCACTAACTACAATCCCTTGCCCCATCACCAACCCCAACCCTCTCGCTCCGCCCGTCACCACGCCCACCTTTCCCTGGAGAGAAAACGTGGCAAGCGTCGGGAAAACATTCGGCCCCGCTCTTCCTATGCCGCTGTCCACTGGCTGCGAAGAGGGGAGCTTGGAGGGGTCTTCGGGGTATTCGACGGTGATCGAGTCGTCAGTTCGGGCGAAGGCGCCCGCTCCAGGGGTAGGGGTGGTGGTGGTGGTGGTGGTGGTGGTGGTGTTCTTCTTCTTCTTTTGGAGACGGGTCGCGCTGATGTGGAAGGCTCTTTGGCTTGAGGAAAGAATTGGGATGGTTGGGCGGGTTGCTGTGGAGAAGATGTTGCTGGCCCGGAGGGCGCGGGGAACGGCGCGGGTTGCCATTATGAAAGGTGGTGATGATTATGTGTGTCTAGTTGGGTATTTTCCGCCGTTGAGCTGTTCTTAGGGAGCTCGAGAGCTAAAGTTTGTCGTGCCGTTGTGAAGATTATGTCTGTTGGGCTGCGAGATTGTGTAAGTGACAGTTCAAATTAATAGCGAAGGAGAGAGCTTGGCAAGGTGGCTTCGATCCCAACTTACTGTCGCTAGAGTTGGTACTGACCTCGAGACACAACAAGAAAGGGATGAAATGTTCTTGATGTTGGAATACCTTCCGTTTTCTTGTATCAAAATTATTTTATTATCTGGGAAAGGATAAGTTTTTCCTAGTGTATACAACCCTCGACAACTACCAACGTTGCTCAGCTCAGGGAAGATATGCATATGCAAGCTCCCCTCGCAGAATCTGTTACAACATGGACGTCTAGAACTCTCGTACAACCGAAGCTTCAAAAAAATCTGAACGACGATCAGGCCTAGACCCACCATCGTCAACCTCTATTAGCCGGAAGAATGCCAATAGCGCATGACCAACCTGGCAGTTTTAGCCCATATCATTCATTCCCACCTCTGTATCGGTCACAGATGACCCGATGGTCGAATCTCCCAACTCAGTGTCCTCGATAGCCTCGAAACTCCAGACCACTCAAACGCAAACACAACAGGCAAATATCCTCAAATTCTGCACCGCAGCTGCTACTTACCTCTACCTCACCTTAACCAAAGCTTCTCGACATTCCATCCAGAAAAATCAGGCACTCAGGCACACTAACCCGTACCGTATTTCTGGATAATATTCAAGGCGGGATATGTTTCAGAACACCGGCTGACCGCAAAGGATCTTCACTCTTCGCCCCCAGGACCTGCCAGTTGTTCAGGCTGTTTGCCTTCTCGCGGTTTTGCTTTGTCGATCTCACACTTCAGAATCATCAGACATCCAACTGAGCTGAGCTGAGCTCATGCCTTGCTCCACCATTCTCCTTTCTCTCTTCATTCTCTTTCAGTCTGATTTCCAGACTTCAGGGAAGACGTCAAAGTCAGTTGTGGATGTGGCCTCAGCAGCCTGGAGCCCTGAACCAGAGCAGGTACTGCTCCACTTACCCCGCACAAAGACTCTCCACTTTCTCGTCCAGTTCTCCATTTCCCCGCACTCTCTGCCTGAAGCGGGATGGGGGCATGGTGGGGACCCGTTGTGGGGCCCGTGGCTCGGTGGAGCTCGGAGATGTGGAGTAAGTCAGGTCGCCGTGGTAGAGCTCTCCCCGTAACAGGCACAAAAGAATGAAGCTATTCCCAATGGTCATACCCAGTTAAAGGCTAAGTTTTCGGCGGAACAACGGGGTCGATAAGCAATTAATTAACTTGGAGCAACACGCTAAACTACATCCTAAAGACACCAAACTTGGTCCCCCTAGGCGCCTGCTCATTTCTTCCACCCAACGCCGCCCTCAAACCAAGTCCCAAGTACCTCCTCGTATGCTGCGGCGGGATAACACCATCATCCCATAGCCTGGCGCTCGAAAACACTGCATCACTTTCCCTCTCAATCCTGTCCTGCAACTCAGGATCCGCCTTGGTGCCTACTGTCTCCATCACCTTGGCCAGCTGCTCACTACCCATGACGCCAATCCTAGCGTTCGGCCACATCCACAAAAACCTGGGCGAGTACGCCCGTCCGCACATGCCGTAGTTGCCCGCGCCGTAACTGCCGCCGACGACGACCGTAAATTTGGGCACGTCCGCGCACGCCACGGCCGTGACTAGCTTGGCGCCGTTCTTGGCGATACCCTCGCGCTCGGCGTCGCGACCGACCATGAAGCCCGAGATATTTTGGAGGAAGACGAGCGGGATGCCGCGCTGGGCGCAGAGCTCAATAAAGTGCGCGCCTTTAAGGGCAGAAGAGCTGAAGAGAATGCCGTTGTTGGCCACGATGCCAACGCGGTGGCCGTAGATCTTGGCGAAGCCCGTGACGAGCGTGGTGCCGTAGTCGCGCTTGAACTCGGCAAAGGCGGAGCCGTCGACGATGCGGGCAATGACCTCGTGGATGGGTAGGGGCTTGCGCAGGTTGGTGGAGGCGATGCCCAAGAGCTCGTCGGCGCTGTAGAGCGGTTCTTCAAATTTCTGCTCAAAGTCGGCCGGGGTGACGGCGCCCGTGGAGGAGCCGCGCGGCCAGTTGAGATTGGCGATGCTGCGGCGGGCGAGCACAATGGCGTGTGCGTCGTCGACGGCGAGGTAATCGGTCACACCGGAGACGGAGGAGTGCATGGCGCCGCCACCAAGCTCTTCGGGACTGACAACCTCGCCGGTGGCGGCCTTGACGAGCGGTGGGCCGGCAAGAAAGATATGACCCTGCTCTTGGACGATGATGCTCTCATCGGACATGGCGGGAACGTAAGCGCCGCCAGCGGTGCAGGGACCCATGACCACGGCGATCTGGGGGATGCCTTGAGAGGACATGCGGGCTTGGTTGAAGAAGATGCGACCAAAGTGTTCGCGGTCGGGGAAGACATCAGACTGATGGGGAAGGTTGGCGCCGCCAGAATCGACTAGGTAGATGCAGCTGTTTGGTCATCCGTGTCAGTGAACCGTATGTACATGTGTCGTGAAAAGAAAGGTCGAGACTTACGGAAGGTTATTCTCCTTGGCCACCTCTTGCGCCCTCAAATGCTTCTTGACCGTGATGGGATAATAAGTACCTCCCTTGACCGTGCTGTCATTGGCAACGATAACGCACGTAACGCCCTCAACCACACCCACACCCGTGATGATGCCACCGGCGGGCACATCTGCCTCGGGGTAGAGTTCATGGCCAGCCAAAGGAGAAAGCTCCAAGAACGTTGTGCCAGGGTCAATCAATGCAGTGATGCGATCGCGCGGGAGCATCTTCTTGCGCAAAAGGTGCTTCTCGCGCGCCTTCTGGGGACCGCCCTGGTGAACCTTGCGGGTGAGCTCTTCTAGACGGGCCATGGCCTCGCCCATAAGGCGCTCGTTCTCCTTGAACTCGGGGGAGTCAGTGTCGACATCGGACTTGAGGACGGAAATGGCATTGGCTTGGTGGGGAGTTGTGAAAGTCGCGACCGAGCGTCGTTGTTGCTGGAGGAGGCTTTGTTGACGTTGTGATTGTTGTGGTTGTTGCTGGTTGCTGTGGAGGAGGAGCCCGAGATTGCGGGGATGCAGGGGTAAACTGGCGGATCGTGGGGATGTGGAGGCTGTTCTGGACAATTGCTTGGAGAAGAGGAGAACCTCTCTCCTGCTGGCGGAGGAGAAAGACATGGTGATGATGGTGTTTAACTTGGACTTACAAACTCGACGCAACGTTCAAGAACGACAGAAAGGAAGAGGAAAACAACAAAACCAACTGAAGGGGAAAAGATGCTCACGACAACCTCCTTCCAACTCCGCCGCGCCCAGCCGAAGTCCTCGGTCTAACTTGAGCGGCTGCCATCTCAGATCTCGACATTGGCATCTATCACACCGTCTGACGTACCCCTCACGGGCTTGTGAAACTCAATGCCCGGCTTCCATGTAGCCAATCATAGCAAGGATCACTAACAAGATCGTCAAAACCCGAGGCAAGCCGTCGCCAACCGGCCATTTTCGATAGAACACAAGGGTAACATTTACCATCAAAGACTGCCGCGGCTCTGGCTAGATGCGGGATGTTTGGAACAGAAAGTTAACGCTAGTTGGTGTAATGCGTGGCTGGCCATTGTTAGTGGATGGCGAGGGGGGGATCCAGGGGATGCACGAGAGAATGGATGAACGGAGCTCATCCCGACTTGATTACAACTGTAACATTTTTGTTCTTTTTCTCCTCCCCTTTCTCCCAACTTTATCTATCTACTACCAGAGCAACCATCAATTTTGGTCTTCACCAAGTAAACAAAACCCGACAAAACACACAAATGTCCACCCAAGGCCTCTCCCGCGCCCTTGCGCGCTCCACCACCACCAAATCCATCCCCAGAATCCCCACGGGGATTTCAAGGGTTCCCCGTCAATCGCGACTCCACAGCACTTACACGGCGACAACAACAACCACAACCACAACACCACGCCGCCCATCACCAACCACAGTCTCACCACTACTAACCCTCAATCACATCCAAACCCAACGCCGCAACGCCTCCCACAACAAACACCCCGCCGGCTTCACTCCTCCCTCCCCCACCGACCTCACCGAGCTCCGCGAGCGCGTGCAAGAATTCGTCCGGCGTTCCCTTCCCGAGACCCTCGCCGCCGAAACCGACAAATCCAATGCCTTTCCGCCTCACATGTGGCAGGCCCTCGGCGACGCCGGTCTCCTCGGCATCACGGCCGACGAAGCCTACGGCGGTCTGTCGATGGGTTACCAAGCGCACTGCGTCGTCATGGAGGAACTCTCGCGCGCTTCGGGCTCGATTGCCTTGTCCTATGCCGCGCACAGTCAATTGTGCGTGAACCAGCTGAGTCTGAACGGAACCGCCGAGCAAAAGGAGAAATACCTGCCGGGACTGATTTCCGGCGAAAAGGTCGGTGCGTTGGCCATGAGCGAGAGTGGAAGTGGAAGCGATGTGGTCAGCATGCGGACGACGGCCAAAAAGGTCGAGGGCGGGTATAAGCTCAATGGAAGCAAAATGTGGATCACCAATGGCCCGGATGCGGACGTGATTGTGGTGTATGCCAAGACGGAGCCGGATGCTGGAAGTAAGGGAATCACGGCTTTCATCGTTGAGACGAAGAAGGACGGGGTCAAGGCAGAGGGGTTCGAGTGCCTGAGAAAGCTGGACAAGATGGGCATGCGTGGGTCGAACACCGGCGAGCTAGTGTTTGAGAATGTATTTGTGCCCGAGGAGAATGTGCTGGGCAAGGTCAATGGGGGCGTGAGGGTGTTGATGGAGGGATTGGATCTGGAGAGGCTGGTGCTGAGCGCGGGACCGCTGGGTTTGATGCAGGCGGCGCTGGATGTTGCCTTGCCGTATGCTCACTCGAGGAAGCAGTTCGGTACCCCAATTGCCCATTTCCAGCTGTTGCAGGGCAAGTTGGCGGATATGTATACCAAGTTGCAGGCGTCGAGGGCGTACACGTATGCGACGGCCAAGACGGTTGATGAGCAAGGGGTTATCAAGACGCAGGACTGCGCTGGTGCTATTTTGTATGCGGCAGAGAGGGCGACCGAGGTCGCTCTGGATGCTATTCAGATCTTGGGCGGTATGGGCTACATGGAGGAGATGCCGGTGTCGAGGATCATGAGGGATGCCAAGTTGTATGAGATTGGCGCGGGCACCTCAGAAGTTAGGAGGATGGTAATTGGAAGGGCTTTCAATAAGGAATATGCCCATTTGGCCAACAACTAGCTTGTCTGTATAAATCATTATTAGATTGGCAACGGCATTGAATACCTCTATAGGCAGAAAAGTGCTCTCGACATTTTCAGTATCAGCCTCTCCACTGAGAATAGTATGGTTTCTTCCACTTTGTTCGTATGTGTTGTTCAGGAAAACTGTACGGAAGAACCTCTCAACATGCCCCTTTACAAGCTGCATCATGAGGCTAGTGTACACAGCTGCTGCATGAGATGCTGTGACGGGCCCAGACTTTTCGTTCCTTGCTCTCCGTGTACCATCGTAATATTTGACATTCGACGACGATGATGACGATGATGATGACGACGATCTACCTCGTCCGGCCTTCCCGCCCCTTGCCTGTCCTTCGTTGCTTCGCATTAGTCTTCTCACATCCTGGTCTGTGTGAGTATCTTGTGCCTTGTGCCTGCATTTAGACAAGGATGACCCCCACCCTCTATTGACCACTCCTTCATCGTGATGAGAACGGGATGGTGTCAAAAATGTGATATATGAGCCGCACAATTGTGTGGTAGAACCCGGTTGGTCCGCTCTGTCCTATATGAAAACGCATGACACTAAACCGCCGAAGGAGAGCGCGCATTGTCAGCGAGTGTTCCTTACTCGGGAACCTTTCCCCCACGAAAACTTGTGGGAAGCATCCACATGGGGAAGAGCTTCGCTTATACACGTGTACGATCATGGCGGCCCTGGCATATGCACGTAACCTTTGTTGGTGAAGCAGCCCAGCCCCCTCCCCTTCAACCGCGACTAAGAACTAACACCGTCGAATAGTCACAGTATCAGCTATACGTCCCGGTTATGTTTGTATATTCGATCAGTTTCTTTCTGACCTCCACAATGATCCGCAGAACCGAGCGTCTGGATCATCAGTATCAACGTAGCATCGAAGATATCATGCAACATCGGCCTGGGTCGATGGGTGCTTGCACTGAGCTCGATTTCGGATCGTCGACGCTTGGTTGCACATCGAGGCTGACCTGATATTGCCAAGCTCCTTCATCGCGCTTCTTCCTTAGCTCTCCTTATGATAGAGATATCGTTCGTGAGTCTCTCTTTGTGTCCTCCCCAGCTTGCGGTTATGTGGGATGAGCCGCGTTTGTCAACTTAACGGGCGGCTGAGGCCGTTCTTCGCCCGTTTTCCCTATGTTCACTCAACGCTTAGCATCCCTGTCGTCGTATTGCTAAACCAGCAATGTCTCTTCGCCACTGCATTTTCCCTGAAAGATGCTTACGCGGACTAGGGATTTCGTAATGTAAGCATACAAATACCCGTTGGTTTTCCTTGCCGGGACTGATGTCTGTCCGAAACTAAGATGAACCCCCTTCTTGAACCTTTTTCCGGTTGACGTGATACAGGATCTCGACAAATAAATGAGACAGAAGTTTCTGGGCACGCAAAATTTGCGATGACTTCCAAAGTCCGGACCTCCTTTTTCCGAGAGGAGACAGGAGAATGATTCCGATTGTGCTCAATATCTTACCCCCTTGTGATGATCAATGATACCTCGCATTGAACAGCGAGCCATCACTTTGAAAGTACTCTCGAGGTTCCTATTCGGTCGTCTTCATGTAGACTAACTTCCCAATGCCTTTTGTAATAGTTGGGTAGCGTAGCATCTAAGGACGCGGCTTGTTTAAGCGTCATCCCACATAGCAAGTGAGTGTGTATGCGCTTCGAGTTTCTACTCTGCCTGAAACTTAAAGACCGCCAAAGGATTTGTCAGGGTATACTCATGCCCAATTTGTTGGGTAACATGGGCCCATTCTTTTTAAGAGCATAGGCAAACGAATAGTTTGTAAGACCTCCGCAGGGGGCAATCTGCGAATGAAGGTTGAAAGTTGGTAGTACAAGGCCGGAGCGGTAGGATCGCAGAGCGTAGCAACTTTCAACCGGTCAAAGGGAGAGGTCGAGAAGATTCAGTGATTATCATATGCGCGGGCTACTCGAATAGGACAGCGTGGAAGGATGGGAGCGAATGTATGTTGGCGGCTCATTGGATACGAACCAGCCGTTGGACCCCGGTTTCTGAGGAGTACGTAGGAGAACAGTTTCCGTTAATCGGGTGAGCTACCCTGACAAGACGGATATGATTGAACCTCCCTCTACGAGAAAATGTTTGCATAGCGGGCAATCGCAGAGAACCCCGGTGAAAATCAGCTTGTCGACGCAGGAACAGGAACGGGAGCGCCGGTATAGGCAGGGGAAGGCATCAGGTAAAATGTCGGTGACTGAGTGCTTTACGGGGCAAAATGAAGAGTAAGATGGCACAGAACTGCTTGCTTGCCGCAAAAGTATCCAATGTGAAAAAAAAAGTTTCTCCCTCTACAGGGTTGAATTCCATCATAGAAACTCCAGGAAGGAAACGGAATCCGGAACGAACAGCTGAAAGCTACAAAGAAACAGAGACCATAGAACAGCGGTGAAGATCTTTAACCACACAAATGGAGTAGGGCTCTGGGTTTATACCAAGAAGCCGACCTGTACCGGCACTCATGAAAAGATGATGGCTTTTGGGCAATGTACAGCATCGGGCATCTGATGGTGCTACGGTGGTATGATCAGCCACCATCGTCACCAGAATGCAGTGAATTCAGTCGACGTTGTGATTACTCAAACGAGACATCATGAACTTTTGCTCCCAGGTATCACATAACGCCGCTTTGATTTGGGGCCAACTTTGGTGTTGATTCGACGACAGCTGTGGTAAGACTGACGACTTAGAAGGAGGACAACACGTGGAGCTGTATCGGACCGTCGAACTCGCAGCACGACAGGGCGATACGGTACGTAGGTTTGTGAACCATGGTCGTGACACAAGGCTCGGGGTTCGCGTTCATGGATAATATATTGCATAGGGAACTGGGGGGCAGGCGTTAACTGGCCGCTTCCATGGGACCCATCACGATGGTGTGTCGGTAGACGCTTGTTTCTTTTTCAGTCCGTGAACCCATGCTTTGGACCAGTCCTGCAGATTGACCGGTTGCTACTGTCGCTCACCGGCGTTTGAATATCAGGATGAAATGGTCCGGAGTACTGGGTACTAACCATGGCGTGTTTCTGAGCCGCTCGGTCTGCAGGCGAAAGAGATGAATGGTACTGTTAATATAACTTGAGTGTGGTATTGGGAGAGAGCGAAAGAGTTGCTTTTCAGAACAGAGAGTTTGCTTTGTGGCGTGGCCCATATACCAGACTTGTCGAACTGTGGCGAGACTGGAACGCATCATCCTCGGCTTGTTCATTCCTTGCACTGGCAACCATATATATGGGGGCATCCTTGAGCAGCTCCTCGGTGCTCCCACAACACACACAAGGAGAACTTCTCCCGCAGCAGTGAACCTCGCCGGCCTCCAAAAAACTTCAAAACCAAGAACCGACAACAGAACTGACAACATAATGGCGATCGATCTTCAGCCATGGCTGGATGGCATTGATGCCAGCATGGTATTCCACCCAGCTAACGCCTTTGTGATCTCGTGCGGCACCGTGACGCTTGACCTCGGCCGTGGAAAGGTGCTGTTGATTTGGAACCGGAACCTTTCGATCTTTCAGCTGCCCAAGGGTCGAAGGAACATTGACGAGCCCATGCTCAACGCGGCTCTGCGCGAGACATACGAAGAGACCGGAGTGCGGGCGACGCCGCTGGAGCTCAACATTGCTACGAGAGCAACACCGCCTACCGTCGACGAAGGGGCTGATGGGCCACCACAAAAGAGCCCACAGATCACCGAAGGACACCTGAGCACCGAGTTTGTCGGTACCTGCCTCTATCCAGACCCGCAGTCGGACACCAAAGCGCTCAAGGCCGTCTTCTTCTTCGTGGCAACGGCTGACTCGACGGCCACACGAGACAATGGGACGCAGGAGACATATGAAAAGCTCGAGGCTTCATGGGTTCTCATCTCGGAGGTGGACCAGAAACTTCGATTTGCGAGCGAAGTTGCTGTTGTGAAGAAGGCGGTGGCGGATGTTAGGAAATCGGGATATACCATCAACAATGCCTAGTTGAGGTCTGTTGACGTGGTGGATGTGGGAGAGAGATTGCACGAGACTGAGAGAAATGCCGAAGGAAGGCGAAGGAAGGCCATCCTCCCTTTGTGAGTGAAGGGCCTTCCAGACATTTAGGTTATGGAATATATGCGGGGGGAAAACTGCGTGATCTCCCAGAAAGGCGCATGGAAATTGTGACGGTGATGGATGTTTTAGGGTGTGAAGGCAAAAGAGACTGTGAAAAGAACGGAAAAAGGCCGGTGGCTCTCGAGTATGTGTTATTTTAGAACGCGCTGTCTTTAGCAATAAAGAATGTAATTTGACATGGCAGACATGGAGATCTTCATCGCAAGGTAGATCCCCACTTGTCATATGTCACGGATGTTCAATCTCTTCGCGGGAAAACACGTGAGTGTAGATAATTCCAATTCGGAAAAGCGATGGGTCTGCATGACCGTCTGGCTGATTGAGGGTGAGACGGACTGCTGTTCAATCATGTGGTGTTGGAGTTGGTCGAAAGAAATGGAGAATGAAAGAAGAGAAATGATGGCGTGCGATCAATGTAAACTTTTGGCCCCGAGACGCCAGTCGATCGCGGCACATGATTGGTCAGATAGGTATAGTCGGCAATTGAAGTCCCGATTGAAGCCATCTGGGCTCAGGTCCTTCTCGAGAAAAAGGATGGATGGGCGGGAAGGTGGGGTTCCGGGAAGCAGTTCGGACGTGGTGGTGACATCATAGCAACCTGAACTGGGAGGAGGAAGCTACCCCGCCCACCGATGCTCCTGCGTGTTGCGCCGCGGTTGCGCGATGGTGATGGTTACTTGTTGAGCATTGAACATAAACACTTAAAAAAAACCCAGTTGGATTTCAGGACGTGTATGCTATAAACTCACAGTCCCTCATCAAGGTACAACAGGTATGCCTGGTCCCAATCAGTTCCGTCTCACGGCTTCAGTGCCATCTGCTTCCTCTGCGAGTCTCTCTTCTGTTTCGCGAACCAGCGCCTATTCCCGTCTTCTACATAGCACATCCCAATCTTCTTCAGCCAGTGCTGCTCTACAGACCATTGCATATTCACGACCCATCATCTCTGCTCAATTCATTGCGAATACCCTTGTTAACAGTCCGGCCCCCCTGCAAACAGCCAAAATGTCCGCCATGCAAGCCTGCCACGGCCACAACGAGGCCTGGTAAGTGATGCAACTCTTCTCACCCCATCCTGACAGTCACCGCTAACACAAGACCGCCAGCTGTAACATCCCTCCCGTCGTCACCTCCGGCTACAGCCCCAAGGGTTCCTTCACCGAGTACGATGGCCTAAAGACCTATGTCACCGGCCCCGACGATGCCACCAAGGGCATCGTTGTCATCTACGACATCTTCGGCTACTTCGACCAGACCATCCAAGGCGCCGACATCCTGGCCACCAGCGACGACACCAAGTACAAGGTGTTCATGCCCGACTGGTTCAAGGGCGAGCCGTGCCCCATTGAGTGGTACCCTCCCGACACGGACGAGAAGAAGAAGAACCTGGGCGCTTTCTTCAGCAAGAACCCTCCCCACGGCGTCGCCGAGAAGCTCCCTGCCTTTGTCAAGACCCTGAGCGCCAAGCACCCCAACATCAAATCCTGGGGTATCATCGGTGTAAGTTTAGTTGTCCCTAGATACACGAGGGAATCTGTCTGACTAAAGTTTACAACAGTACTGCTGGGGCGGCAAGGTCGTCTCCCTAATCACCAAGTCCGAGAATAACCCCTTCTCCATTGGCGCCGAGTGCCACCCGGCCATGGTTGACCCCGAGGAGGCCAAGGGCATCAAGGTGCCCCTTATCCTGCTCGCCTCTAAGGAGGAGCCCGAGGACAAGGTCAAGGAGTTTGAGCAGAACCTCAGCGTGCCCAAGCACGTCGAGACCTTCAAGGACCAGGTCCACGGCTGGATGGCGGCGCGCGGCGACTTGAAGGACGAGCGCGTCAAGAGCGAGTATGTCAGGGGGTACAAGACTGTTTTGGAGTTCTTTGGTAAGAACTGGAAGTAAAAGTAAATGGGGATGGACATGTTGGCGTAGATGCTTTGATGACCTTATGAACAACACTAAAACTAATGATTGATTGACTGTGGTGGAAAGGCTTCATTGATATATGCAGCGGATCAACCCACTGTACAACAATTGGCGTGGTGGCAGAGTGGTCTAATGCGCAAGACTAGAAATCTTGTTCCTTCGGGAGCGTCTGTTCGAATCAGGCCCACGTCGCACGATGATCACCAAAAACTATTTTTTTTTTTTTCCCTTTTTGATGCTGTTTTGAATTAATTTCTCTTTTTCGCCATTTTAACCGATTTTCTTTTCTTTTTCAAATTTCGGTGAGGAAGAAATAACAAGATGACATGATTCTCTCGCTTTTGTGTTGATGTAAAGGGTACGTGACAACATGAAATAGCATCATGTTGCCCCTCGAAGCCTTTTATCTTCTCGCAGGCATGCTGTATTTTACTCAAGACTGAATAAGAGTCCACCGCACCAGGAGAAAATGTTGGCGATGGAGTTATTATCCAAGATTGGTGTATTGTCTAAGCCCTCGTAATTCTGACGAGCGCGGGTATCAAATGCTTTTGTCTTCTTTCTTTTCCTTTTATGGTCCAGAGCGAAATCTAATTTTCCTTGAACTTCCATTCCTCGCTGAGGCATACTTTCGACTGCAACCGAAATCCACATCATATTATGAGTGCTAAACCGGTGCCTACGCCACACTTCCACCCGGCGGCGCCGTTATGCCTGCCCACTTCATCTGCTGCGCGACCTTTCTCTGCTCCTTCTCCCTCTTCCTCGCCTGGCTGATACTCACCGTCGGCTCCCTCGCCTTCTCGACCGCCTGCGCGAGCGTCTCCTCCGTGACCCTCTCCAGCGCGAACCGGCCCAGGTCTCCGCGCCGCCACGCCTGCACCACCCAGTCGGCTGCGTTCTCCAGGTTCAGCTCCGACCCCTTTCTCAATTTACCCGTGCGTGTCGCCACCGCCCGCAGGAACTCGTGCACGTCGTTGGTCGGCTTGCCCAAGTCGAACTTGCGCGTGTACAGCTTCGGGTCGACAAGATTCAAATGGTAAAGCAGGTAATCGGCCACCGTGACGGACGGAATCACGCCGTCTTTCACGCACCCCACCAGCGCCAGACGGAGCATGTCCTCCGGGTCCGAGACGTACGGGATGAACACGCCCGGCGTGTCCATGATGAAGACTCCCTCGCCTAAGCCGGCGCTGCTCGGGTCGTCGGCGGACTCGCCAGCTATGATGCGCACGGGGGTGCCGATCTTACGGGTGACGCCCGGTGTGGCGCCGGTTTGCGCGGCTTTGGGCAGACCCATGCCCTTGGCGCGCAGCCGGTTGAGCAGGGTGGATTTGCCGCTGTTGGGCATGCCGACCACCATGGCGCGCATACCCGTCAGAGAGTCGGCTTCGCGGGCGATGCGCTTGATGGACTCGAGTAGGTGTTTGTCGTTGTTGGGTGCGTCGTTGCGACTGCGGGCGCCGGCGGAGGTGCCGAGGAACATGACGTCTTTGGTGGTGTAGGAGTTCTTGTGGTACTTTTTGAGGGTCTTGACCATGTCCTTGCCGTTTTGGTAGCGGCCGTTGGTGTAGCCCTCGATGGAGGTCTCTTTGGAGAAGTTGCCCGAGGGTGGGCCGAGGTCGTGCTTCGTGTAGACGATGATGCGGGAGCGCTCGCCGGCAGCGGAGGCGGCGAGACTGCGCTCGAGGAGCGGGTTCCACGAGCAGATAGGTACGCGGAAGTCGCGGCATTCGATGATCAAGCCGACGTTCGAGATGGTCTGGCGCATTTTGTTGAGGGCGGAGGCGTGGTGGCCGAGGTAGTAGGAGCGGGTGATTTGCGTCGAGGATTCGTAAACTTCGCGCGGTGCGAAGCCGCCGCCGGCTGTGAGGGAGGTTGCGGTTCTTGCGACATTCTCGACTGCCGATGTGACGGCGGCCGTGGCGCCGGCTGCTACTTTGCCAGTTATTGTGCCCGACATTGAGTATTTTGCGAGTGTTTTGGTGTTGCGAAGAGTTCCGTTTTCGCCTCAGGCTATGCCGAACCGGATCGAATGCGCCTGGGGGCAGGTCTCGCTCGGATTACCGTCGTCGTTGTCGTTGATCTCGTTTCAGGGAATGCGCTTATGGTGGAAGAAATATCTTTGTGGTTGGCGATAGCATACTTCGCAATGTGCCAAGGCTGTGTTCTGGAGGTAAAGACTCCACGGGTCTCATTGTTGATTGTGGATGGCTCGAACTTGGATTCACGATCCTGGGCTAGGTGAGTCTGGAATTTGAGTTCTGATAACGGATAGTTGCTTATCGGTGGATCGTTCTCCGATAAGTGCATAAGCGCCAAAAGGTACCTCCAACTTGGGATATTTCGACTGTAATTGTTGACCATTTGCCCAACACTATCACAAAGTAACCTTTGGGATCAGCTATCCTTGATGTCGTTGATAAAAGCATTCAATATCAATGATATGTGTGCCAATATGGACTGGCGCTGGACTGCTGGCAAGAGAGTTGTGACCGCCCTCGCCGCCTTCCTCATCCGAACACATGTGATGGTGGGTTGACCAGTGACGTAATTGCTTCTGCGGCGTAAGAAACGAGAAGCGGGCAATGGTCCGGATCTGCGATTTTGTGGGGCATCTTGGATCTTTCTTTTGTGGACTTTTGGAACAAATCAAGGTTGGGCATCAAAGACAGTGGTGGCACGTGCGCCGTGACGAAGACGGGAGTCGACTTGTCCGCGCTCTGCTCGCTTACGTTGTTGCCCCGATTCTCTCGCCAAGAACATCAAAGAAACTTCCTTGGAAGAAAGGCGCGATTGGGGCATGCCCTGTAGAGGACTGGAATACGGGAAAAGGAAGGTTTTCAATTCTCAACACTGCCCGTACCCACCATGATACTACCCGCCTCGAAGTGGCTATGGATAGGGGTTCTTTTCGGCCCTTCTGGCCCAATCTCCTCGTAACCTTCAAGGGATTGGCGTAGTCTGTAGAGATCTAGGCCGGAGTGTTCCCCCCATGCTAATCTTGAACGATACCCTTCTTTCCCATTAAGACATTTTCACTATACTCGGAATTTTCTTTCTCACCGCTCTGTTAGGTCGAGATCTCTTTTTGTCTGCACTCATTATCTCACAGGGAGTTCGAACCTGAAGACGCGGTGAGGTCTCTCATAGCTCCTACCTATACGCAGCCAACGACCGAAAGATGAGATAAAGGATCAAAACTTCCACGACCGTGTTTGGGAAACAAACAATCTCTCGTCCGGCGTCGCTTCTTCCCCAGTGTCAATATCCAATAACCTCCCTTCGCCGACCCTAGCCCCGCTTATATACATAGGTATATAAGTTGAACTCGACAGCCAATCACCCTGCCGTCAACCAACTTTATTTTCCTGAGATCGACGTCAACCGCTTCACTACTCCTTGGACTGAGAGCAGGAACCCGATATGCTGGAGAAGCCCGAGGCCAAAGCCTCATGGCTGGCCACAGTATCAAACAGGTTCAGGAAAGGAGGGAAGCTCCAACCATTTAGGTTGCTGAGGCAGGACATACACAACCTACGCCAGAGATATGTTTCGGATTGGACAGTCTTCAACCAACTGGTTGTCGCCAGTGCCGTCTATGTTTTCTTCACCAATATCCTCCCGGGCATCACCTTTGCCAACGATCTCTTTGTCCTCACCGGAGAATCATGGGGCACCATCGAAGTTGTCTTTAGCACTGGCCTTTGCGGTCTCATCTTCTCCCTCTTCTCTGCACAACCCTTGACTATCTTGGGTGTCACTGGTCCCTTTTCCGTTTTGGCGGAGAACATGTACAAGCTATGTACAAATAACTTTCATGTAAGTGACCTAGCTATATTCAAGCATGACCAAAAAGATATTGACTAACACCATTAAGGTCCCCTTCCTCCCGGTCATGGCCTGGTCCCTCATCCACTCCGCCTGGATGCACTACCTCCTCGCCATTTTCAACGCCCACGACTACACCATGCAATATGTCACCGACTTTAGCGCCGATATCTTCTCCCTCCTTAATTCCGTCATCTACTTCCACAAGGCCAGTCTCGAGCTCAAACGAAATCACGACAATGTTCCCTTCGACGCCTTCCTCTACTCCATCATTGGCGCCTTCGGCACCTGCCTCATGGCCATCTTTCTGTCCACCGCACTCGAATGGAAGCCCTTGTTCGGGCGCATCATCCGCATGGGACTAGCCGAGTACGCGGCTGCCATCTCCATCATCTTCTTTATCGGCGTCCCGTACATGGGCGAGCTAGCGAATCTCGATCACGAGCGCCTTTCCATCCAAAAGACGTTTCGACCCACCAGCCCGGCCCGCGACACGTTCTTCGTGAGGTTCTGGGAGGTGCCACTGGAGTGGGTATTCATCTCCATTATCCCCGGCGCCATCATCACGGTGCTGTTCTACTTTGACCACGAGATCAGCAGCATCATCTGCACTGTCGAGCGCTACGGCGTGAAGAAGCCGGGCGGGTACGCTTGGGACATTGTCCTGCTGGGCACGACCACTGCGCTTTGTGGAATCTTGGGTATCCCGCCTGCGAACGGCTTGTTGCCGCAGGCGCCTTTGCATTCAGAGTCTCTGCGGCATTGGGTGGAAGTTGACGATGATGAGGAAGACTCCGATGCCCCCCTTACGACGACCTCTAATAATCCCCCCCAGTCAGCCACAGCCACAGCCTCACCCTCACCCTCAACCTCCTCCTCTTCCACAACCTTATCATCCCCCAACATCGACGACGCCCCCAGAAAGAAGAAACTGGTTCCCCGCGTCCACGAACAGCGCTACTCTCCCCTTCTCCAATCCGCCATGATCCTCGTCTTCATCAGCCCCCCCTTTCAACACCTCCTCGGCTTCACCCCCACCTCCGTCTTGGCGGGTCTGTTCATGTACATGGGCTACCAATCGCTCTCCGTCAACCCCATCCTCCCTCGCTTCTTCGAAATGCTTTCCCCGCCCTCGGAACTCCCGCCCTTGCCCAACCCGCAAATCTCAAGATGGGCAGTGCACGGGTATACTCTCACCCAAATCGTGCTGACGGGCATCATTTTCGGCGTGACCTTGACGGTCGCGGCGCCGGGGTTTCCGGTGATTATTATCATTTTGGTCCCCGTGAGGCTGTGGATCATGAATAGGATTTGGGGCAGGGAGACGTTGAGGTTTGTGGATGGGTGGGCGTGTAGGCCAGGGAAGCCGGAGGATAGTGAGGAGGAAAAAGCAGCGAGGAGAGAGGGGGAGAGAGGTGGTGGCGAAGAGAATGTGAGTGCGAGCGCAAATGTGGGTGAGGACGATGTGGAGAGGGGACTGGCGATGACGTCGACGGGGATCATCAGTGAGGGTGTGAGGGAGAAGCAGAGGTGATCTTGGATGATTTTGTGGTGGATGTTTCAAGGCTTTGTTTTGCTGTATCACGCGAGTGAAGGAGAAAAAAGTTTGAAGGGGGTGTAGTTGAAAGCTGGACGGATGATACATGTACGACGATGAATTCGACACGATAATGATTTAATAGCATAGCATGAGCATGAGCAGGCATGGCATAGTACGAGCATAGCATCGAAGGCCAAATAACAACGATAAAGCATGATGGTTGATACCCACAAACGAACGAAATAGCATCATGGCAAAAAAACCTAGGTAATGAAATTCTTGAAAACTCTATACTCCGTTAACAATGATACCCACGCCGTCCTAGGTACTGCCAGAACCACTTATCCTATTTAAACCAAGAAAAACGCCCCAATAAATGCATCGCTGGCCTCACCACCCATTCGCCCACGTTTGCGGTAGGTGGAGGGGAGGATACAGCTATCCCGAGTACTCTCGATATAAACTTCGAAAGCATCCAATCATCGCAAAAACCTGCCTAATGATAGCGCCGTTCTGCCCCTTTGAAAGTGGAAAAGAAAAAGAAACCCAAAAACGAAAACGTGGAAGTTAGCATCAGCCTTTATCCGACGTAATCCATGCCACATGCACATCAAGTATAACATCCATTATCCGCTCATTGTATCACACTGTATACTCCTGCTGCCACTTGACCAACCTCCGGGTCAAGCTGTCCATCATCTCCACGCAGCTGAGGTCCTTGAAATCCTTTCCTAGCTGCCCTTCTGAAGTCATGACAGCGGCTGGGGTCGAGCAATTGACCCCGAGCATGCCTGTTGCCGACCCTGGCTTTTCACAGTCAGTTGCTAGTTGTGGTGCGACGCTGTTGCCGTTCGTCTTGTCGTCATCCGATGGTGACTCGCCAGCCAGCTCAACTTGGGTTCGCGAAATGAAGTCTAGGAGTGCTGCGGCCCTCCTCTTCATGTCAGTCATGGTGATCTTGCTGTTCATCCCACCCTTATTCTTCCCGTGTTTTCCGTGTCCAGTAGCCTTCTCTTCAGCCTTACTTGGCTTCGGAGGAGGCGGTACTTCAGCTGGTGCCTCCCCTGACTGTGATCTTGCAGGTGATGGCTCATTGTCATCACGTGTGTATTGATTGCGACCCTTCTTCTTATGTGATCGCTTCTTCTCAATCTTGGCTGTGGGAGTAGCTGCAGCGGGAGGGTCTTCCGGAGTCGACTGTGAAGCAGGAGGGGGCTCGGGTACCGCTGGTGGTTGTTCTTCTTGTTCTGCCGGTTCTTCCGCAGCGGCAGGGGTAGCCATAGTAGTAGTAGTAGTAGTCGTTGTAGTGGTTACGGCGGTGGCGGCTGCGACCGGTGTCGTCGTAGCGGGCGTCTTGTTCACTGCCGCACGAGCTGCTAGTGGTAACTCGTCCGAAGGGTCTGAATCTGTAACTGTGTCAATTTCAGATGCCTTCGCGAGAGTCGTGGCTTTCATACCATCAGCTCGCCGGCGCTCAGCTCTACCCTTTCGCTTGTTTGCTGCCTCAGCCCTTTGTCGTTCGCGTTCTTCTTTTTCAGTTGTCTTCTCGGTACGCAGAGTGCGGACTGCTGCGCCGCCCCGCGATCTAGACTTTGCACCATTCCGCGTTGTTGTGCCGGCGTCGTCAGAGTCTTCAGTGGTCTTGTCGAGGCTAGGAGAGGCCGATCGAGAGCTCGTCCTCTGCCTCTTGTTTTCTGACTTTCTTGAAGAGGGTTAGCGATTATTGATGTCGGGCAGCCTAGGACGTGGACCTACTCTTCGCTATCACTTCTGCCTCGCTTTGTTCTTCTCGTGGTAGTTTCGGGTTGTTCAGAAGCTGCATCTTCCTTGCTTGCTTCAATCGCCCGTCTCAGGGCTTCAGCTTCGTCGTAGTCAGCTCCTCGGCTGTTCATTGTAGATCTTCGCTTCGACGCGGAGGAAGTGGTCGTACCACGTCCGTTGCGGCCCTCCGGTTTATCTTTGGGCGGTGATCTCGTGCCATCCTTATTGAGAGAGGCGGATCTAGAAGTGGTTCGAGAGGGGCGCTTAAGGGGCAGGTAGTGCGAATAGCGCTGTCTGTGAATCATGTCGTCAGTGGACTGGAGAGTGAATTGACAATTGTCGTGGATGGAGGAGGATATTGCATGAAAGGTGAGGCAACGTCAAAGGCGTGTGATGGGCTTTGACGCACTCCAGCTGAACTTTCAAAAGTTCAGCTCCCGACCATGCAACCCCAGGACCAAAGAAATGCAAGATTTACCCGTTGCTCGCTGTGAAAATTTTGTGGAATTCTTTGCGGCACTCTTCGCAGAAATATTCGTCTGGGCTTGACTCTTCGGTCATAATGCCAACGCAGGCGCCATGTTGCCAAACCTTGCAAATGTCGCATTGTACGAAAAATCCGGCCGCATCGTCGGTGACATCGGTCGCGAATATGGGATCGATATCCATGCCGTCCTTCAAGCCATGCTTGGAGTCTTCGTCGAACGGCGGAGGGCCTGGGTAGTCCTCGTAGCCGCAAATGCACCGAACGGCCTCGTCCTCGTCTTGAGCATCATCGTCGCCGTGTGCCATTTCGACCTGCTCAGACTTGTTATTTGCCCTCTCTCTTTCTTCCTGCTGACCGCGGGTACGACGCCGTGTGCCAAACGAGTCGTCCGCTGTAATTGTCTCGTCTGGAGCCTCAGAAGATAGCGATCCCGAGGAGCTTGACTTTTGTGGTGAGACAGCTTTGTTGAAATACCTGGTGCTGCGCTCACCACGACCTGACGTGCTGGACGTGCTGGACGAAATTTGCGATTGTGATTGGGAGGTTCGCGCTCTTGACGACCGCCTCGGATCGGACCCTGCCATTGCTTGCAGCTGGGGCCGCAGTCAAGGCAGGAGCTCGAAGTGTGTAGGGTATATAATCGACACGATTGGTGTCGAAGAGGAGAACGCGATCCGCAGGCCCGTTGGGAGGGGGTTCTGCGGTCGGGTATCCGGAGTGCCTGAGGACGATGACGCACCCTAGCACTCAAACAATTTCGTTTTACTTGAAGCTCGACAATTGCGATGTGGATGGTCGTGAGAAGTAGTGGGGCGTGATGGCGGGAGCAAACCCGAATCACGCGATCGTCTGTCGATGTGGTCACGGAGAAGCGCGGACTCGACGAGGCCGAGTCTCGACCGCAAATTGAATCTGACACAATTGTTGAGTGAGGATGTGATCGAAGGTGTCGAGGTTATGAGACTCGTGCTAGGTTCGAATCGTAGCTTGAAGCCGGTGCTTGGTGGTATAGAAGCGTAAATTATCGAGGATGGACCGACCGACGGCGGAGGATCGCGAGGGCTTAGGTCGAAAATCCAGCCAAGTGAGGAGGGTGCTCGATCGGGGGCGTGCTCGAGATGAGGATGTCGCCGGCTTGCTTGTGTAAATGTCCACGAAAGCAAGACTCGTTCGCTGCTAACTTGGGTAAAAGATTGAGCGGGTACGAGGGTGGGAAAGAAAACGAAGAAGAGGGGACGGAGGACAGGCGAGACGAGATGTCTATGACGGGATCCGAAGTGCTGGCTAGGCCAAATTTGAGATCGGGGAGCGGTGGTCGACGTGGTAGGTGGGTGGTAAACTATTTCTCATGACGGAAACAACAAGTTCGACAAGTCGGGTTTTCGTGCCTACGACCCAGGGTGTGCGTGGTGAGGATTTCCAGAAAAGAGGAGAGCGAGGACGGCACTGCCTGGGAGGAGGAAGCGATGGCTGGTCTCTCTTGGTGTGTGTACAATGGTGGAAACCGAGCCCGGGACCTAGTCGAGTTGCCAGCCCCAAAAAAGACGGGACCACCGCACCGCACCACGGCACCACGATGCACCACGACCACCACCACCAACCCGACACGGCGCTCTTGCAGTTGCAGTGCTTGCAGTAAATTTTGGCAGAAAGCTGTCCGCCCGGGCACCCACTCTGGCTGCCGCCCACCCACCAACCCCGGTCTGATCCCGTCCGTCACTCAGGCACCTCCTCACTCCTCCTCACGGTAGCGGCAGTGGCAGCGCCAAAGCGTGCGGGGCCATCTGGAAGCTCGGTCCCCATGTTGACCAATCCGGTACCGGGAAAACGTTAATGGGCCAGCTCGACCAGGATATTAATGATCTCTGGGATGCGGCGTCAAAAGCCGGCTTGTCGATGCTGTTCAGTTTTCAGAGACGAGTAGACATAGATTGATGTAAGAAAGTCGTATGTATAGATATGTAGAGGCCGTAGAGTGGTGAATTACTTGTACCGTCCGTCGGGGAGGGTTCGTGCTATGACATCACGCCTCAATGGGTGAAGCCCGTGGCCAACCTGAACCGACAAAAGAATAAGGGGCATCTTGAAAACCGAAAAGGATTTGAAGTGAAATGTGGTGCAAACAAACATCGATGGTGGAAGACGACGAAACTCGTTGTTGCACACAAAGGGGCATTATTTGGGGTAATAGGAAGGGGACGGGAGGCGGGGGTTCGGTTCGTTGCTCGCTGCAGGTCGGGTCTGGTTCAGGTCGGTTGTTGTCGAGTTGAGCAAAGCTTTCCAAGTGAAATTGCATCTCCCGCCGTCGAATGGGTCTCGTTTGCTTCTCAAAGGGAAAATGGCAGTGCTTGGTGTTGTCAGGGCGGCATCAAATCAGATGTAACTATGAATGGCACCGGCACCGCAGTGTTCTGCCTGTGATGGAAAACGCTTGGCTCTTGCTCGAATAGTGTAAGCACAGTGCGTCCGACATTCAGGAACCGCCGCCCACAACCCGGCCTCCATCATTCAGGTCGCTGGCTCGAGTCGGGTTAACACTTCAATGTGAGTGCCCTGTGCATGGCGATGATTTTAAGGGTGAGTAGAAACTGAACAGAGAGACTTGCCCGCCCAGAAAGAAGCTCAGTTGCTGCGGAAGTTATGCTAAGGTAGTTGGTACCCAGTCATTGGGACAACATCAGCCGACTCGGTACTTCCCCATGGTCTTCGAATTGCCCGGGTTTGGGAAATCGACAAACGTACCGGTAGCTCAGTAGCTAGAGAGGTCACGGTATGGAAATTCAGCATCTCACTTGGGGTTGTTCCTTGGAGTCTCCAGTAGTGTACCCGTGGGAACACCAGTATGCTTGACGGTTCGTGATTTTGCGGTCGACATCTAGGGTATTATTACAATTGGGTGATCTCTCAGTTTCCGTTGATCTCTCCATGTTGGGGAGAGACCCAATCCCATGCGTGAGGCGATTCACTCGGATGGGAACCGGAAACCGAATGGAGGCTCCCCCGGCCGGGAACTACAAGTGGAAGGCGGGGGCGGAACAGCGGGTGTAGGTTCTGGCAGCATGGCAGGCAGCGGCATTGGGTCACCGACCTCTATCCTCTCCTCAGAATCACAGCCCGAAACCCGCGCTGTCCAGACGACCAACTGCAGTGCCTGGTTAAGGACGGGATGCTTACATAATGCAGCCAAGGGTGCGTCGATTAGGTCCCGCCTACCATCCCGCCCGCCCTCACTACAGTGAACACCCGCTTCTCCTAATCACAACCACTGAACTCCATTGCTTTCCACCCCTCAACACCACTGCACCGATACACGACACCCGTCTCACTGACTCGGACAAAGTGCTGGTTTGAGCTGGCTTCCTTTGTTTTGGCCTTCCTATAGCTCTCCCCCCGATCTTGCCTGCAACCTGGCCACCGGATATCCGCACGAGCCAGATTCGAGCCAAGAAGGTGGGTGCTTGTGATTAGCAGCTGATTGTCCCCTCAGTTGTATGGCTTCATTTCCCCCCCTCCCCCTTCTCGCCGCCTCCCCCGCCATGCTGTTTCATTTGTCCCTTGGTGGTATCCCGACGATTCAGGAAGTTCTTGCTATGATAGACGATGCGGTGGCAACTTGGGGAGAAAATATTTCATCTACCGGTCCAGGCATAAACAACGAGAACACAACTGCCATGGCGTTTCCCCTCCTTTTCCCAAGGCTTCGGTGCTGATGAGTCTTTTTGGGCAGAAAGGGATATATCCAAAGCGACGTCGGCGCCTTCGTTTCCTTCCACTTGTATTCCCAAGGTGTTCTCCGGATCACAGAACTTCCACAATCATACGGATTATAGCAGCCTGGGAATCCCCTCGGGTTGACGCATATTCCGTGTGAAGTGCCTCGGCGGCTGGCGCTCCTTCGAAAGTTGATAGCATCTTGTCTTGGGTACTATGTAATATCCTGAAGGTACGTTCGTAGGCACGCGCCTTCCACGTTGCAATACTTGGATTTCTTGCCAAGGCCACTTTCACAGAACTACGCGGCATGAACAAACGACCTCTTCTCCAGTCGAGTCCGCCCAAGTCCCCTTCCGTCCTAACCCCGCGCCTCTCTTCTGTCCCGGCCCTGCACTCGGCCTTTCTTCTCGTCCCGCCATTCTTTTGTTGTTGCTGTTCAGTCAGTGTGGCACCAATGCTAGCCTTCTTAAATGACTTCTTCCCATTCATCAAATGGCTTTCATTGTTGTTGCTAATTCGTTTGCGCTTGGCTTCTGACAGAGCACACGAGCAAGTCACAAGAATGTCCTCCGCCGATACGGTGTCGGTGTCGCCCGCATATCGAAGCGAACGGAGAATCCATCCACTGCCCAAGAGATCACTGAGAGACCGTTTAACCCCCGAAGCCGCGGAGTCGATTCAATACCCCCCAGCTCCTTCGATCTCTACGTCCTTGTTCCCGAGTCTGTATAGTATCCGAGATGACGAACCAGACCAGACTCCGACTCCCCCTCGCGAGCGACTCACCGAGGCTGCCCCGCGCCAGTCAAGAAGAGATGGTCCAGTAGCAGAAAGTGGGGGATATACTACTGCGTCGAGACAAGGCATACCGGAGCGCGGGCACAGCTTGCTCGATGACGGGATCTCTGATCCGTCGAACCGCAAGGGTCATCAGTCACCGAGGACTGAAAATGAAGAGAGATCGGTCAATTCGCAAGCTACTCTCTCCGCGGCATCAGCAATCGATGGCTATGACTCCTTCGAAAACACGAACAATAAGAAAAAGAGGAAAATCCCTACGGCAGGTGATGCAGCTCTTGGCGGGGTTCATGTTGGCATAGATGCTGGCTTCGGAACCACATCTGTTCAGGCGTCTGAAGGTCATGGGGAAGCAACTTCTTCGAGCTCAGCGTCTCAGTATGGTTCCGGGGGTTATATGCCAGGCTTGCAGAACGTGCCTGGTCCTGGAAGAGGTAGATATGGCAGACCGCGCAACGGCAGAAGCCCGCTCAGGCCCTTGTCGGACTCGAACACCAACTGGCTCGGAAGAGGCGGGAAGCTGCGCTCTGTTCCATGGTCAACCAGTTCAGGTAAGTCCACCAACGCTCTATCCTGGTTTCCTTGCCATTTTGATTTGTCTCGAGGTGTTGTTACGATGGAGATGCTGATCATATCTCTCTCTGTAGCCGAGAACCAGGGGATCATCTCCAGCGCCATAGCGAAAGCAGAGAAGCTAAACCCACCACATGCGGGGTCTGAAAGTACAAGTCTCTTGCAGAATTCATTGTCACCAAAACGCCCTGCGTCAGCACAGTTCACGTTTACCGCTCCTGGTCCTAATGCACTCTCTTGGCCTGGCTCTGATCGACGAATCAACATGCCGACCCCGTCAGCGGCTCGACAAGGACAGGAAAATTGGCAGCGTGCTGCTCCGGGTGGTCAGGCAGCTAATGCCCACGCTCTTTCATCGGGAACAGGCACCGCAGCGAAGGATGCACAAGGCAAAAGTGGCGCTGGAGGCCAAGGGCAGCAAGGCCCGGCACCTAAAACCACTAGGAGGAGTGCTGCAAAAGAGTATGCCGCCGCGGCCAGACAACGGCGCCGGGAGACGCAACTACGGAATAAGCGTCACCCTCCTAAGCCTGAAGATATCTGGATTTGCCACTTTTGTGAGTACGAGTCGATCTTCGGCCACCCTCCCGAAGCTTTGGTCCGTCAATATGAGATCAAGGCCCGCAAGCAACGCCAGTTGGAACAACAGCGGAAGGCTCAGTGGGAAAGGCTCAAGAAGGGCAAGCACAAGGGGAAGAAAAACAGCAAGTTGCCTACCAAGGGTCACGATGGTGTTCAGGATGCCCATCAACCTTCGGGCGGCCATGGTGGTCCGGTGAACTGCGATTATAGTCAAGGCACTCAGAGCGAGGAGTACTTTGACGACGATGATTACGAGGAAGACGACTACGACCCGGACGAAGATCTGCCGCCAGAGAACGGACTGGAAGCCGAACGACATGGACGTGTTCCAGATCACGTTGCCCGCGTCTCGACGGTACCTGATGGGGGCGGGACGTAGCCCAGGCTATTGTGGCCATGCCACCTCCCCGCCCCCTATTCTTTGTAACATTAGTCTGCAGCAATATTAGCGTGATTTTATACCCTGTTCTGGATTTCATGATGGTGATGGAGAGGAGGGCGCGGTTGTCGGGGCGGTCACAGCGACTAGAGAGGATCGATCAGAGGATCGACTCTTGCCGCTTTGGCGTCAGGAGCCAGTGCTCCGGTGACGTGGCGAGGGATTTGACGAAGAGTACGGGTTATACGCCTAGGCGACAACAGGAGGAACTGAACCGTTAACAACAGCAGCTTAAGGCTCGCAGTTACTAATACAACCAAGCGCATACCGCTTACTCGGTCGGCTCACGCACTTTCGAAATACGACCGAAGAATCACGATGATCACTGCTTAACAAACGCGTTTTCCTGGTATACAGCTTACTATGCACATGCTAGGTGAGGGTAAAGACGGAAGGAGAGGAACATTCAGTGTAGGTGTATTATTGGAGGCTCGGTGGGAGTCTAGATGATGGGGTGCTCGTTGTTGACGGCAACATAAATGAGCTTTGTTAGGTATATGAGGAGGGGTTGATAATGGCCATAAGCAACAACAACAACAACAGCAACGTACTACCTAGGCTATCGCAAATGCGTAGGGATAGATGGAGGTCTCGAGCAGAAAGACAACTGAAGATACACCTATTGTCTGAACAAGAAAAGCACAATTATAGCTTGAATACAATGTTGTGCCTTGGTGGTTCAACTTGCGCAACATACTATAAGGTATGGTATGTTTCGATAATCATTCTACACTTACATGTTTGCTGTTGTGAGCCGAGGTCCAGCACGCACACGGCGCTTCCCGAACGATGACAGGATGGAATCACCGAGTGGAGATGAACGGGAGAAGATTCCGTAAGGGTCTCGACGATCACCAAATGTCAAACACAAACCCAGCCAAAGGGCCCAAAGCCCTCGGTGCGACGTCAGACAAAGACATAGTTTATCTCAAACAAGACAGATTGGATGAACGGCGCCTGTGCTGGCTGGACTGAGTCAAAGCTAAACGTGTTTTTTGTGTTTGGCGAAGGGTTTTGTGTAGACACTCGACTCATTGGTGCATTCTGTTCATGTCGAGCAACTCGAGCGAATCCTTCGATTCTCCCACCGTCTCTTGACTGAATCTGGAACGGCGAGCAGGTGGGGATGATCAGGCCAATGCCAGGGCCAAGCAGCAAGTCGAAGTGGAATCAAAAGCAAGGCAGCTATGGTAGGCGCATATTGGTCAAAGGTGATCATGATGCAAGTCATCTTACACACACACTTTGGCCCGGCTCTGTTTGGGTCTCGTCCAATCCTCGACAATGGAAAGTGAGAAGCAATCAATCAATCAATCAATCACAATGTGCCTAGGTAGAGTGCTTGATGCCGGGCTGTTTGATGCACGGCAGCCGAGTGCCGTTGCCCAGGGCAGGGGGAAGCGACAGTCCCCATTCTCCTGCATGGACGGCGGGACTTGGGGAATGAGAATCGGACTGGAGGGAATGGAAACACAGAACCCCAATAAAAAGTGACACACTGACGCACGCATGCATCCACGAATTGGGTCTTTGGTGACCTGTGGTGGAAGCCTCCATCGGGTTTAGCGGGCTTGCCAATCCCCTGGTTTTTAACCTTGGGAGTTTGAGGTTTAGCGTGCGCTGTGTGTCAGGTTCACGACAACGCCGAAACGACGACGTTCATGGAAGTGGACATCGGATGCGGAAATGTGAATGGCTCCAAGCGTCCCCACGGCGCATTGTTAACGTGACAGGATGCCCGTACGTGGTGGAGTTGGACGGACACGGCGCTGCACTTTTTTGATTTTTTGTTCAAGATCCATCCCGGCATTCCCACGGCTTCCTTTGCTGACGAGGTCCATGATATGATCCCTTTTATTCGGGGATCCCATGTACAGGACGTGAAGATATTGGCTGCTGTGCCGTCATCACCGTCACCTCCTTCAGCTCATCAGGGCACAAGCAAGTTCCAGTTTTTTGTTGGACGGCAGACAGACTCGGCGGGAACGAGATTCATCCTTCCTACTTACCTAGGTACGCAGACCAAGACGGGAGGCGGGAAGGAAGGGCGCTGCTGCACATACGTCCCAGGTGCAAACTGCACTGCGACCGCACTACAACTCCCGACCTCCGTCATCGTCATTTTTTCTCGATACCAGGCCGGTAGTACCGCCCACCCGAGCGACAAGAGAAGACAAGCAAATCCCGGCACCCTCCTCCTATTCCATGCCGCACCAAACAGTCTGGCGCTGCCACTCTCAGACAACCACCACCACCACACCACGCAATCACCACCCTCATCTACACGTGTCGTCGCCGACTCTCACCTCTCTTCCGTCCCGACAAACCTTTTGCGACGACCAACGGCGCCTTCATTCTCTCCTTTTTGTGTTTTTTTTTTTTCGCATTTAGCAGCCGAACTAAAGTCCCTCCACTAATTTCTCTATTGCGCCCTATGAGAAGCCGCGCTCGGTAATGAGCAAGATCGCCAGGTTGGGGATGGCCTGGATCAAGAACACAGACACACCACGCACACACATAGCGACGACAGCGACATCCAGGTAGAAATACTAGAGGCCCTACTGTGCTTGTCGAAGCGGAGGATACAACATCCAAACCATGTTCGGCAGCTCGCGGAGGCATCGGCCGCCCAATCCGGTATGTCGTCATTGGCCCTTTTTCTCGATCGGTCCTCCTTTCGGCCTGGTCCTGTCGCCCGAGACAGTGAGACAGTGCCCATTTGGATCATCGCTGTCTTTGTTCGCGACGCCATGATTCTAGCATGGATGCCATGGTCGGCGCGCAGCTTGCAATTACACTTTTCTACACTACTCTTAGCTCGCTCCACCAGACCAGCTGCTGTTCAATTATCCCTTGTTTCTCCATTCCTACCTTCCCCATGCTTTCGCGGATACCCTATGGTCCCCGTCTCGTCCCGTCCAGTCCAGTCCAGTCGCGAGAGGAATCCCGATTGCTGACTGCTAGATTCCATGTCGCGCAATACTCAGCCTTTGACCGCGGCGACTGCGAATCCCAATGCTGCCTCCGCCGCCGCCGCCGTCTTCAAGCGCAATGAAGCTCAACAAGCCTCGAACCTGTCTGCCGCTGCCGCCACCGCCGCCCTCCGTGCCCGACCCATCACCCCGACCAATGTCGCCCAAGTCCAAACGAAGCGCACCGTCCGGCGCAGCGCCTCCGTGGCTTCCACGCGTACGAACCCCGATACCCACGGAAGACCAAGCCTACGGCGCACCGGGAGCTCGAGCTCCATGACCGAACGCACCTTTCGAAGCCCCAGTCCACACCACCGACCCGATAGCAGAAACTCCGGACGGCGTCAGTCCCAGTCCATCGAGGACTTACCCCCTGTTCCGGAATTGCCCAGGAATGTGGCCACAACCGTTGGAACGGCGGGGACGGGTGCGCCCCAGAAGAGTGCGCACCGCAAAACACAAAGCCTGGGCGTTGAACGCGTCCCATCACAGAAACCGGGCACGGACGATGGTCCATCTTGGTTTGGGCCCGCCAGAGTGGGAGACTTGTCAAGCGTCCGAAGAACGGATCCGGCAATGGCAAGCCCACCATCGAGTCCACCCCAGGTTGCGATGCATCAGGAAGATCGGCCTGAAAGTCGGGCGTCATCCATCAATTTCTCGTATCCAGCCCGGGTTAGGGTCGGCTCACCGCCAGTATCCCCGGCTGATACCCGCAGCACCACCGACTTTCCGGCTCAAGATTCCCAATCGGCGGTCCAGCCCCAGCGGTCAAGGGGTTCCCTATTATTAGAGGCGGGGACCCCATCCTCCACTCGACCGCGAGCCTCCTCCGCTTCTGCCGCAGACCAAGCATTGGTCTACGATCCCAATTCCCGTCGGATGATCAGACGTTCCGACCTCCTCGCCGTTGAACACGCCATCGTAGCAGCATCGCAGCAACCTACCCGATCCAAGAAGAAGAAACACCCTCCCAAGGCTGGGACACACCTCGCACAAGGCACCGTGGGTCGTACTAAGAGTAACGTCCCAACAAGCAACCCGACTGGTAATACCGGTACCGCTACCACAACAAGGACAGCTCCACAGGTACAAGTACAAGCCCCTGTTCAACAGTCATCACCTGTACAAGATTCTCGCCAGGAGACAGAGGAGCAGTTACACTCGCGATTTGCTGTAGCTTCGCCACCGACTGAACCTCAGCCGACTCAACAACCACAGGAAGAGGACTGGGAGTCTGAAGAAGAAGAAGAGGAGGAGGAAGAAGAGGGAGCCTTTACCGACCACCATCATCCAACAACGTCAACATCAATGGTCGTAACTACAGATGGTCGTCCGATGGTGAGGAGGCTGCCGTCCATTGTGAGGGAGGAGCCAGAGTTGGAAGAGTCAGAGTCTGATGAGACAAATACGTCGAGGATCTCAAGCGCTCTCGACTCGATACCATCCCGACAGAGGATAGTCTCACATATCCGCTCGCAGTCAGAACAACAACCAATACAGTCATCTTCCCAAGCTAGTCAGCTACCAATTCGGGCAGCTTCGGTGTCTCAGAAGAAGAACCAACCTACTCGGGCCTCCTCAATAAGCCCGGCTCGCCAAGCACACTTTGGACCTGTTCAAGATACTCTAACTGTTAGGCATTCACCACCACCCCGATCAGTCTCCCCACGAAAGTCGGCCCTTAAACAACCAAGCCCCGTCCGCGGCCCATCGCCTTCTGATCTCTCGTCGGAGGCCTCATGGAGTACAGACCGGCCGGTGCAACGGAAGAAGTCCGTGCGGGTAAGCTTCGATGATGAAACTCAACCAGCCATCGCCGAGCTTGGCCCCAAAGAGCGATCGGTCTCACCACCTCTGGCTAGCCCTACCGGTATCCGCCGATGGGCAAACGCGGACTTGTCGGCGACACTCGACGATGAGGAGATGGCGATGAAGCCACGACCGGCGCTTCCCAGCTTTGGCAGCGTGAGAAATGTCAGGAAACCACAGTTACAGGAACCGAAAGAGGGCGAACGACCACTTCGACCGATAGGGGATGTTGCTTACGCCACACCATACACCACGCCACTCCCCCTAAGCCCTGTAGCCGAAAGTTTTGGGCAAAGCAGTGACTATGCTATAGGTGGCATGCTACAGAGAGAGCGTGAGGAACGGGTACGAAGTCCAGCTAATATCTCGAGGTTTAGAGAACCCCTTCCACCGGTGGTTACATTGGTGGAGGGAAGTGGATATGCCAGCGACGACAGTGATGGGTCGACCAGTCTTGCGTCCGAGATGACAGGCAGCTTATACGACTACCCGAGTTTCATGGAGCCGCCACAACAACCGCGTCGCAACTCGCTATCCTCGCCACAAACATCTCCCGTTAAGACGGCTTTTCAGAATAGAAATGCCCCTGCCATCGACTCGAGGTTTGTTGCTCAGGAGGAAGCTCGGCGGCGGAATAGTGCTCCGAATGTCCCAATTATCTCCTTGACACAGCCAACTCCCCAAGAGAGCCAGAACGAAGCGCCCAACTTTTTTGTGGAGGTTCCCGGCGGGTTTCCCGAAGATTCGGATACGTCCAAGAGTTCGGCCACTGGTGTTGAACAAGCTATTGGACAACAGACGACAGGCACTCAATCGCAGCCGGCATCGGAAAGTGAATCGGATAACTCAAGTGTATACGCTGATGCCTATGAGGATCTTTCTGAGGCCGAAGGGGAGGGCTATCAGTCACTCAATGCTGTTTTGGACTTTCCTGGAGCCAACGACCCCCGCCAACATGAAGTCCATGACAACCCGTCGCCTCCCGATCCGCCCCGAAGTCTTGTACCTGCACTTTCGACTGCTACCACGGCCATTGGATCTTATTCTGGAGAGTCGCCTCAAGAGGACGACTGGGAGCGGGCCAAGGCTTATTGGAGGAGTCTTACAGCTGAGCGAAGAGCCCAACTGGAGCGGGAAGCCAAGGAGGATGCTGGAATCGAAGGCGACAGGGAAGAGACGAGCGTCCCGGGAGAAAAGCCCAGGAGGAAGAAGTCGATTGAGAAGAGGACTTCGGAAAGGCATGCTTTGGCCGTGCAGATGGCTCGGCAGATGATGCTCGAGCAGCAACAGCAACAGCAACAGCAACAGCAACAGCAACAGCAGCAGCAGCAGCAGCAGCAGCAGCAGCCGCCTCAGGAGGAGCAGGTCCGGAAGAAAAAGGCCAAGGGGAAGGCAAAGGAAACGGCAGCCTCTGCACCTGCTCGCGTGACCGCCGAACGTAGCTATCAGATCAAGCCTGGGACGAAATGGGAGGAGCCTGAGGTTCCTGTAGTACCGGCGGCATCGACAATGACGATGCGAACTACTATGCGTAGTACGCCTCTTCAATCCAAGGCTGCCCCCGTGAAGGACGGACCTCGCTTCCGCAAATCCTTGCGCTCTGAACCTCCGGCCGACCGGCGAGCATCTTGCCCAGATCCTGCTCCGGTTCCTGCAACACCTCAGCCCACGAAACGAGAACATCGTGCAGCCTCTGATGCTATGCTTCCGGCTCCCCGAGCCTCTACCATTCGCCTAGCAAACACACACCAGTTACACATCAAGCGTCGTGACTCTACCAGTAGCGATAGCAGCTTCAAGCGCGCCCGCGCTAGTTCGGCAGGACAAGGCCTTTCTGCTGGCGGCTTTCCTAAGTCTCTCCGCCCGAAGTCTCCAACTGCTGGATCAGTTGACAGCCGCGGAAATGGCACCAAGTTTCTCACTTCTTTGCGAGCTACGACGCCTACCAATTCGAACTCTAGACTTGACACACCGCCTTCTAGTAGGGGGACAATGGGCTCGGGCATGGGCATGGGTGTGGGTATGCGTACCACGCTTCGTGACTCTGTAGCAAACAGCGGTGGGAGGAGAAGTCCTGGTGGCATGAAGATGCCTACACTGGGAAAGAAGGGAGGCGCCAGTGGAAAGAAGAGGACATCGATTGGAAGTAAGTTCTCCAGCAGGTTCGGGGATTCGAGCGATGAGGAAGATGCCGGGGTTGCCAGCAGATTCAGAAGCCGGTTTGACGAGTCGAGTGACGAAGACGAGGTCGTGCCGCCGGTACCGGTGGTTTCGTCCGGATTGAGGGGCTCGGCTTCGGCGCCTGTGGCAGCGGCTTCTCGGAGTATGGCTCGGGGCAGTATGCGTGATAGACAGGTATCTATTGCTGAAGAGGAGGAAGGAGGGTATAATTACAGGGACGGTGCTTCTCATGGTGATGGTAATGCGCGTGGAAGCGTTGGATCCCTTGGCGGTCATCAGAAATTGTCGAAGACGGCAAGACTCGGTTCTGCAATCGCGCCAGCGCAAGCCGGCTACGACAACGACGCAGCAGCGGGAGACGAAGAACTCCGTCGAACCCGCTCTGGCCGTGGCCAGATTCTGCCTACGTCGCAGACAGCTTCTAATGTTGGGACTTCTGAGGCCCCTGCGGCTGCCACCGAGCCGCACCGCCCCAAGCGTGGCCTGATGTCTGTTTTCTCGCGTAAGAAGCACCATCATCAACACGTTCAGGAAAGTGCCGACGCCATCGCTCGCCCCGAAGCACCAGTGGAGAGCGCCGTGAGGAAGGATACCAAGCTAGAGAGGAGCAAAGCTGAGTTGAAAGGGTTGAGAAACCAAGGCCAAGTCGATCAGGATCGGCAGGTCGATGTCGAGGAGAGGTTGCAAACTCCTGCTACCATCGACACCAACAATACCTCGGATATAAGCCCCAAAAGCCACCATCCCCGCCTCCATAAGCGGGGCTCACGAATGCCCAGCTTTTCTCTTCCCGGCCGAAGCGAAAAGGCACCATCACCGGTACAAGAAATCATGAACGAAGGAGGCATTCCCATGCCGGGATTTATTAGGAGATCCGGCACCGCCACTGCCGCCGCTACGGGTGGAAGTCTTGGGACGAGGTCTATCAGCGGTGGATCTGGTCAGCCGAATGGTCCATTTGCTGTCGGGGTAGGGCCAAGGAGGGCTAGTACCGCCACCGCGTTGTCCGCAGCAGGCACAGCGGGCAACGAGAGAATTCCACCTGTAAGGTCTGAGACTCCAACAGGCAAGAAAAAGAAGTTTGGCGCGTTGAGGAGGATGTTTGGACGATCGGATAACGGCAGTGGGTAGTGTTCTGCTGCTGGTCTGGTTCGTCGCAGTCCTTCCTCGCGGAGAGGGCAGAGGGTGAAGTTGAGGAAGAGGCAGTAGTAGCTGACGTTAGGAGTGGTTTGGATACGGGAAGTGGAAGGAAAAGAAGAGGAATAGGTGCTGTTTTTGGGTTCGAAACGATGTAATGGACTGACGTTTTGAAATTTTCTCCTTTCGGGTCCTATGTTTTAGTATTATACCACACATATATCGTTTTCAGACGGTCAGGAAAGACACTCGGTGGCAGGGTCAAGAGAAAAGAACCATTTATGTATGGGTGGAGTTGGGAGGCACTTTACTGTTTCATTTCTTGCTTTCATCACCATCGATCGGGTGTTGTGGCTAACCTCACCTCATTACTACACTACTACCGGCGCGGATGGCTTTATCTTTTCTATACCCCTACAACACCATAGAACAAGCAAGCAACATTGGGAGGAGAGCCGGAAGTCGGTTACAGTCGTTATTTTTAAAGCAAGGCCAAGCAAGCGAGCGAGTAGTTAGTTAATGTTTACTTTTTATTGACTTATTATTCTTTGACGGACCACATTTTACATCCTGCCTATGTGAGCGCGTTTTCCGTATTCATTCAATTTAACTTGTCACGACGTATGCATCATTTCAAGGGTTTTAAATGCGGTGCTCATTTCCAATTTGTAGGCATACCAACACATGTCCATTTTCCTATGAAAAATCATCATCTCCTCCTCTACCTCACCTTCTCTCAACCACAATACCAATCAATCAACCCTTCATTTCCTTGGTCTGCTTGGTCTCCTTCGACGTTTCAGCCATCACAAACTTTAAATCGTCCCTCTCCTCCTGCACCACCCTCCCCCACTCCACCAACACCCGAAACAAATAAACCTCCTCGTCCTCTCTCCTCACCGCCTTCTCCGCCCACTTCATCCCCTGCTCGGCAATGTACTTGGCCTCGTCCGTCCTACTCTTCTGTCGAACTTCTCGCCCATTAATCATCGCCCCCTTTGTGTTCCCTAGCCGATCGGACGCGGACGCTTTTCCTTTGAGACCGACAAAGTAGGCCAAAGTGGCGTGCAGGGAGTGCAGTCGGATGTCGAGGGGGATGAAGTGCAGGTAGGGTTGCAGGCGGGAGGAGTACCAGTGGGTGAAGAGGGTGGAAGTGAAGGGGACATTGGTGCTTTTGAGGGCGGCGAGGAAGGTGGTGGGGTAGTTGGAGGGAGACATAGAGGGGGGAGTAGAGGAAAAGGGCGGGTCGAGGGTGAGGATATACTGGTTGGATGATAGGGGGTTGGAACGAGGGGGGCGGGTGGTCGTGAATTCTGATGAAGAAGCTGCTGCTGCGGTGGTGGGGCTAACGGAGGAGAAACCAATATCGAACGGCAAAAGGAAGTTGAGCAACGAAGTGGATACGCGCTCGTAAGCGGCGCGGGAGCGGACTTCGTTTTGGGGGATGAGCATCAGCGTTGTCGAGGTACTCGAGTTATCTGAGACTAAATGGACCAGCCGTTCTTGTTGTCCGCCGTGCAGCATCTCATCCGAGACTTGCTCGGCTTGCGCCCCGCGCCAGTAGAGCGCCGGCGTCTTCAGATCAAAATCGCTGGTGTCCGGTTGGGTGTTGGCCTTGTGGAGGACCTCGTCTAACGTGGGGATGGGGAGGAGGATGTCGCTGTAGCTAGAGAGCTTGGACCGGCTGAAGACGGGGACTAGGTCGCGCAGCGGGGGCACGGAGGGTGGCGTGAAGAAGAAGCTGTGGAGGTGGAAGAGATCGGATTGGTGGCAGATGGACTGCGAAGCGGCGAAGTCGTGGAGGAAGATACCTGTCCCGGCGGAGTGCGGGCGCACGCAGGAGAGGCAGAAGTCCCGCACGTCCCAGTGGATGCCGGCGCGAGTGGCGGTACCGGGAGGGCAGGTAAGGGCGGTCATTTCTTGAAAGGTGCGGACGGAGGTTGTGGCGGATGAGGAGAGGTCAAGGGGCTGGGATGGTGCTTTGCCTTCTTCTTCATCTTCACGCTTGGAGAGGAGCTTGCCGAAGCCCTTTTGCTTTGCCTTTTCGGTGAATCTCCTCACGTCCTCCCAGGGAGTGAGGACACGTGGCCGTTCATCCAGGTTGATGGGGAGTTCCATGTCAGGGAGGTGTTGTGCAAACTTGTTGACCATTTTGGCCAGCTCGTCCATGACCATTGCGTGCTCGGAATCTTTGGATAAGCTGTGCGAAGCTGTGCCATTGGCGACTCTGAGCAGCGCGATGCCCGGTTCCTTGGCCACCCGTTGAATGTCCTCCTTGATTTTACTGGGCGAGATCCCCCAGAACGGCCGGATATCGTGGACCACCTGGTCGAAGTCGTCGATGATGGGTGACTTGTTATCCACGGTGAACTTGTACCACTCATCAAACTTGGGTGGCGGATCTCTCCCCCCGTAGCGAGCCTTGTACTCATTCACGGCAACCGGGAGAGAGTTACTGGCTGCGGCATGAGTCAAGTATCTGTCGGCATTGGTTCGGGCCTTGAAGATCATTGTCTCGATAGGGTGTTCGAACAAGTAGTCGTTCCTGTTGTTGGAAACGGCAACAATGGTGGCGGCGATGAGTGAAATGAACATGAGTGCAACCAGGATGCTGCGGTGGATGAGTACCACTCTTTGGATGTTGTTGGCGTAAACAAAAATTGATGTACCCAAGCTCATGAGTAGTACGGCGAGGTATGCAACGCCGTGCATGGTGTTCTCAGCGCCTCCGGTGAGCTTCAGCTTGCCCCATCCAACAACGAGACCGGAGATGAAGGTGAAGATGCCAACAAGAGAAAGCGGTGTCTTCTCGGTAGTCAAAAGACTCGCAGAAACAAACAGAACAGCAACGGCAAAGCCATCGGTAACGACGTCGAAGACAAACAAAGCGTCAATGCCCTTGAAGTGATGGCTTAACGGCACTGAAGGCAGAAACATGCGGAGAGAAGTGTACAAAAGACCGCTGCCGACTGCCGAGGCCACAAACACCACACTCACAGAGATCAGACGGCTCTTGTTCGTCCTGGCCCAAGCGAGGACGCGCCATAGTAGGATCACGATGACACCGTCCAGCAAAAGACCGAGCCATTGAAGAGACCGGACAAGGGTGCTATTGTCGAAGCTGGTACAGATGTAACTCGACCTCATGTCCTGGGAAGAAGCGAGATAGGCCCCCAAGGAGATGAAAACGATGGAAATGGTAAGGGACTGTTTAGACTCGGCCACCCAGTCCCCAATATCATCCCATGTTGTTCGCCCCATGTCATCTTCCTCCTCGGCGTCCCTGGCCGGGCCTACACGGGCTCGTCGACCTGGCAAGAGCTCATAGAAGAGGATTACTAGAGGAAGAAAGGCCTCTACTCCAGGAGACGAACATTGCAAGTCCGCCGTCACTCGATGGAACAGTTCGAGTCTGAAAATGATGGCTGCTATGAGAACGGGGAGAAAGTATCGTCGTGGTCTTTTTGGTAGGCTGGTAGGAGCGGGTCTTAAGGAACCGCCTTCATCGTCTTCTCGACGTCAGTACGATGTTGATGGGACCGGAAAGTAGGTGGTTGTCCACTTACCGAACCTCCCGTTGGAACCCGGAAGCCATTGCCAAAAGTGACTAGCAAGATATGAGAAAGCTCCGGCTGTCAACAGGACTAAAATGGATGAGACTCGCGGTTGTTCTGTTCCGCGTGTAAGTAGCTATCCGTTGTGTAACATGTTGTGAGTACTTTTTTCCTTCCACGTACCAATCAGTTGGTGACTTTCTATACTATGACCAAGCCAAAGGAAGGAAGCTACGGCACTAGTTTAAACAAAGTTTCAGTCAGTATATGTTTGCTGTGGACGGGTATGCATGCATCTACGTGCAACTTGTCGGCATCATGGACAGTTTCCACTCACCAAAACGCCGAGAGCTGTGACCCTCCAGTCGCCATGGAGCTCAAAGGGGTAAGTAAGTATGGTTGTTTTATACGTTCAATGCAAAACTTGTGTGACGAAAGGCTGGAGGTAAACAGTCTACAATATGGACACTGGAGATAGGTATCTTCAAATGAGAATATAATGTCATCAACCCATGCTGTTTCCCCAGTGGAAACGAGCTGACATGACGTTGATTGTATTGCATGAGAAGGAAAGAAAAGGAAAGGGCCTCCATGACTAGTATAGCAAGCAGTTCGCCGCTGTCAGGATTCACGGACTGAATCTCAAGTCAGCCCCTGTTTCCATCGCCAATAAGATCTCCGTTGGGTGGCTCCAGAAGCCTGGGATAAGCCTGGACTTCGGGGATAATGGCCCCCCCCCCCTTTTTTTTTCCCCTCCTGACATGTGCCTGCCGGGGCAGCCGGTTGTTGTGATGGTTGCTGGAGGGAAGCCACTGTTAAGGGGTATCGAGCACTCTCCCGCATAATCCATGCGACAAGAGAAGTAGCTGCTAACAACATCATCATCCCCGGGCTGCATCGGCTGCACCTCTGACGTTACCGCCACTCCCCTCCACCATCCGCCGCGGCTCCCCAAAGCTCCCGCGGTTACATTTCCAACTGCAACCCGACTTCCATCGAAGCTTCGTGGAATCCGACCCCTTCTTTCCTTTCGACAGTGTTGTGTTTTTTTCCTCTTTTCTTTTTTCTAATGGTGACCCATTTTTAATTTCTCAACATTCGTTCAGACACACAGCATACCATACCTCTACGGTCTTGCTCTACTGACTAATCCCACGCGACACTTCCTACCACAATCACTGCCGAACCATCCGCCGACCGAATCCCCGATATTCGCACAAAGACCCAAAGACTCCTCGAGTACAATGTCAAGATGACCAACCTCCAAACCGGCCCTACCACCCGCGGCCTCCAACGCTTCGCCATCCCCGCCGTCTGCGGCCTCATCACCTTCCTCGGCTACTACTCGCAATACCTCTTCAACACCAGTGCCGACCTCGCTCCCGGTCCGCTCACCCGCCGCGAATCCATAATCTTCAATATCCTCCTCGTATGCGTCTGGCTCACCTACTACCAAGCCTGCACCGTTGATCCAGGCCAATACAAGTTCCCACCGAAAGAGAAGGAGGAGGAGGATAACAATAACAAAAGAGGAGGAAGAGGACCGCAAAAGGCAAAATGGTGCAAAAAGTGCGACGCCCCCAAGCCTGCGCGCGCCCACCACTGCCGACATTGTGCCCGCTGCATCCCGCGCATGGACCACCACTGTCCGTGGACGGGCAACTGCGTTTCGTTACAAACCTTCCCGCACTTTTTGCGCTTCCTGGTGTACACCAACGCCGCGCTGGTCTACTTTGCTCGTCTGCTCTGGACGAGGCTGTACTACGGCCTTTGGGACCAGCGGCACGTTCCCGCTTACCTGGGCCCCAGCGTGGGAGCGCTGCTGGGCTGTACGATGCTGAGCATCGCCTGGTTTGCGACGCAGTTCGCGCTGATGGTTCTGTTGGTTACCACGGTGCGGAGCTGGATGCTGGGCAAGACGATGATTGAGGAGTGGGAGGCGGAGAGGCACGAGACGCTTTTGGCAAGGTCATATGATGGGGATGATTACTGGGGCGCGGATGGGCACGGTGGCTTTGTGCCCGTGAAGGTGGAGTTTCCGTACGATAATGGGTTTTGGTCGAACATGGCGCAGGCGATGGGGACGAACAACTTTTTGAGGTGGTTCTTGCCGGTCGGTGGCGGTGGGCCAAAGATTAGCAATGACACGCCTTGGAAGGGGACGGGGTGGGAGTACGAGGAGAATGGGTTTAATGATCGGGTGGGTATGTGGCCGCCGCCGGACCCGGAGAAGCTGCGCAGGGAAAGGGCGGGTGCTGGGGGGAAGTGGCCGGGTGCTAGGGAGAATCTGAGTACAGAAAAATCGGAAGTCGACTACTACCGCAGCTCCGAGGACATGAAGACTGCGTTCAAGAGGAGGCAGCAGGAGGATTTGAGGAGGCGACAGCAGAGGAGACAGCACTCGTCTGAAGAGGACGAGATCATGGCTGAGTTGGAGGAGGATGAGGGGTACGAGGAGCGCTCACGGACCCGCTCACCACCACAAGACGGTAGGGCGTGGATGAATAGCGAGGGTGATACGCTGTGGGATTACGGTGTCGATGTGGACGAGGAGGAGAATTATGGATATCCAGGTCAAGGAGTCTCTGAGTCACTACCGCTCGTCAAGACAGCCACCGGATATAATGATGGTCAAGGAGATGAAGACGAGGACGTGCCCCTTGCTGAGCTAATACGCAGACGCAAAGTAAAAAGCAATGGAGTACTTGAGTGAGGACGGGAACCAGAGCAAATATGCCATACTAGCTTTATAATAATAGATACCCAATGAACATATTCTTTTTGACCAGCCCCAGTGATCTTATTATGGTGGCATACCTTAATTCGTTACCATTCCTTTCGGAGCCAACAAAGTAAACATCCAACCTTCAACTCAACGTCATGAAAAGGCATAACAAATGCCTCGCACAGCATCGGCATCAAAATCCCCAATGGTCCACATGATGTCATGTCAAAGATGGGTTGAACTGCCAGAGACTTGGAGTTCAGCTCAAGTTCAGTTGACAAGTTGACAAACAGGGGTATGACCCCCACATAATGTGGGGTTGAAGGGGGCCGGGTATCATTGTCCCGAATCAAGTTGTTGCCCGTCACAGCCTGTGAAGAACAGCATCGTAGGGCAGCATAACCCCGAAACCGCCACTGAGGCCTGAAGGGTCTAACGGATTATGGGAAATAGCAATGTACATCTTGAGGGGTGACGACGTTTGTTTGGCTGTTTACTAATAATGATGATCAGGGACCACCTGGATCTCGTTGCTTTTTTGTGCTGTTTTGCTCGTTAGGTTGAAAAATCTGGGCTGGCTTAAACAAAACGCTCTCTCCATGACTCTGAGTGAAACTGATCTGATACTCTCTTCCTTGTCCATTCTTCTTGTGAGTAATTTCTTTGTCTTTTTCCCATGAATAAAAATAACAATTTAACCTACGACACGATCGCGGAATTTGAAAAAAAAAAATGGGCTGGGAGGAACACGACAGCTTGCCAAGTCTTGATATCTGAACCACGACTATTATAGACAGGAGAAGGCATTCTGCTGACTTGTGAGAAGTGAAAAACATCGAGTGTTGTGAAAATCGAGAATCTCATCCCTAAAGGTGTCCTTTTCTCACGCAACAAACTTGACTTTCCATATTATCTCAACTAAAGAGGTGTCTGTTTGCTGTCAGAACCCGCGGACAAATAACCAACTGGTTATTCACCTTCTGGACTTGGCAGCTCTGTTTGGTCGTCGTTGTTGGTCAACCCACTTTAAGCTTCCTCGCCTTGGTCATCGTCCTCACCACTTTGCTTTTCAGGCCTCAAAACACTCAAACACTTAACTCAACACAACCCAACCCAACTCAAAGGAAGTAGATCACAACCAATCTACAAGTTCCTACCTAAACACACCCACATAATCAACCCTCTCACAAATCAGCCAAGATGCTCAGCTGGTAAGCCCCCCTTCCCACCTACCATTTCACCTACCCTCTCTAAAACGAACAAAACAAAAACAGGTACAAAGCCCAACTGGCGGCGCGCCCCCTCCTAACCCAAGCCGTCACAACCTCCATCCTCTTCGGCGTCGGCGACGTCGCCGCCCAACAGCTCGTCGACCGTCGGGGGCTGTCCAACCACGACCTGACCCGCACCGGTCGCATGGTCTTGTACGGCGGCGCCGTCTTCGGGCCCGCCGCCACCACGTGGTTCCGCTTCCTGCAAAAGCGCGTGGTCGTGCCCGGCAGCACCAACAAGACCATCCTGGCGCGGGTGGCGGCCGACCAGGGACTGTTTGCGCCGACTTTTATCGGGATTTTCTTGGGTTCCATGGCGGTCCTGGAGGGGACGGATGTGAAGGAGAAGTTGCAAAAGAACTATTGGGAGGCGTTGAGCACCAATTGGATGGTGTGGCCGTTTGTGCAGATGGTCAACTTTAAGGTGGTGCCGTTGGATCATCGCGTGTTGTTTGTGAATGTGATTAGTATCGGGTGGAACTGTTATTTGAGTTGGTTGAATGGGCAGTGAGTGAGGGGTGGACTGCAAGGAAGGAAGGAGCAATGTCTTCTGTGGGCTCGCTGAGGGTAGACAAGAAAAAGATTTTGTTGTTTGTTGGGTTCAGCGGAGAGAAAGGCGAGGAGTTTCGGTTGGGAGTAGCAACCTGGATACTGCTGGCTCAATGCGTGTCATAAACCAAAACTTCTTTTTAGCAATCATATTCCCCTCTTCCCGTCTCGCGACCCCAATCACTTCCTCACCTCCAACCTCCAGCCAGGTACATACGATCATAGGCACTTGGGGAAAACTTATGATCCCGGTCGTTCTCCCCTAGATAAGCCATTGACGGCCAGAATAGTAGTAATAAGCTGGTGCTGTATGTCTTTTTGCTCATTTTGAAAGTCGTTTCCTTCGAGTAAGAGAGGAAAGGCACGTTGTACTCTGAACAAAGGCAACATAATCACTCGATAATTGTGTCTAGCTCAAATCTCCTCACTGAAGATGGTGTGCTCCTTAACCCCCATCATTTTTAACTGGATCTGAACACTCTCCAATACCCTCTTCTTGACATTAACATCCTCAATGTCCTGGCCCAGGATCAGGCCATGGGTACTCTTGAAGTCATACTTCTTCAAGATCCCCCACATGCGCGCGATCTCACCCGCGCTGAGAGGAATCATGTTAGGGATGCTCCACATAAACGAATACGAATTGGTATCCTTTGGTCGTGAACGAGGTTCCCCCAGCGCGTTCACCTCCCAGTTGGACAGACCGGAGGGAGTGGTGAAGATTGTATCTGCTGTGAGCAGACGGCCTGAGTGAGGGATGTGGAGGACCACTTCAACTTGTTAGTTTATCATACACACACACACATCCACATATCAATGATCTGAAAGAGTTAAAAGACTTACAACTACCAGGAAAGTGGCCCCCCAACTTGACAGCCACAACCCCCAGATCCTCTCCCTCTTTGTTCGCAATCCTCGTCTCCTCCTCGGTAATCTCCCTCTGGACACCCTCATCCAGCCTCGCCCTCCACTTTTTATCATCCGCCGCCAGGTAGACAGGACAATCACCAAAAGCCCTTGCCCACTCCAGATGCGTCGTATAAAAGTGCGGATGGCTGATCACCATTGCATCGATGCCTCCCAGTTGCTTGATCTTCTGTACAGTCTCATCGTCCAAATAGGCGACGCAGTCCCATAGTACATTCTTCCCCGAGGGGGTTCTGACGAGGATGGCGCGCTGGCCGATGCCAAACTTGGGGGTTGTTATGATGGAGATGAGTTCTGTTCGCTGTAACTCGTCTATTGATGCCTCTTTTGGCTCCTCGTTTGAGTTCAGCCCTGACTTTGCGGCCTTGAACTTCTCATGTGGGCTTGAGTACTTGTATGGGCGAAACTCATTCTTGTACCTGGGGGAAGTGGAGGAACGCAACTCGGAAAGGGTAGTAAAGGATTGCCCTGAGGGGGGCACGAATTGACGAGGGTCGTCGCAGATGAAGCAGGTCTTGAGGGAAGAGCGGTCGGTAAAGGGGTGCTGGGTGCCACAGGCGGTGCAGATGAGGTATTGTTCGGTCATGGTGGTGGTGGTGGTGGATGATGAGGTTGTTGTTGGTAGGACGGGTGTATCGCGATGCTGGAGTCAGGGAGTAGGACGAGAGAAGAAGTTGGGTTAAGTGGTGTACTCAAGGCCGGATGTCAACAATGATGCGGGGAAGGGCTTCTTTGGAGGTGAAGTAACAACGTTGGTTGTGTCTTGATTTGCAAGTCGAATCTTGGTCACGACATGGAACTGGAAGCTGGTGAGTCGAAGGGAAAAGAATGGTTCAACCATGGCAAGCAACTTGAGCAATATCGTCCTTTGCTACTTCCGAGTGTCTATTGACTTGATACCTTACTGGAACACCGCTTGGGGTTGTTTAGAGTGACATGTATACTTTGACGATGCCCACTGCCTCGTCGTTGAACTGGACCAAGCCGACGGGTGATGACGAAGGGACGGGAGTATGGGGTTGTGAGGACTGGGGACAACAAATTGTGGGGTAAGCCAAGCACAGTACTGTACTGCTTGGACAGCTTTTAGTGTTCCATAACACTGTTTGCCGCTTCCAGAAAGCTCAGCTCCGAGCTTTGAATTTGAATTTCGAACTTCGCGAATACTTCCCCCATCAAAGGAAAGGCATTGAGAAGTCACAACAAGCTTCACTTGCTTACCGCGCATCTCGCCACAACATGGAACAAGCATGATACCATGAAAACACCATCACGGTCATCACCACCATGGAACACCCAAGTGCCGCAGCCTCGACGCTGACAAGGCACCGGATCGGCGTCGCCCTCTTCTCCTGTGCTGCCGCCGCCTCCCTGGGCTACTTCTGCTACCGCATCTACAACCCGTCTCTCCCCGAACCTGATCCGTCTCGTCGAGTCCGCCGAAGCAATGCTGTCCGCCACCGCAGACGCTCTGCCCCCGACCTCGATCGTGACCGCGACCGCCGCCGCTCCGATGTTTCTCAAGACTCCGCTACCGCTCGTGCCTTAGAAGGCAACCCCGACACTTCCAACGCCAATGCCGAACCTGCCGATGCTCAGACTGTCGCCGACGACCAGGCCCTACAGGTTGCTGATGACGACTGGTGGAACGACAACGGCCCCGGAGACGGGTACGCCAATCACCGCGCCGGCCAGAACATTGTCAACCTTCTGTTTCGAGTTTCCGAGGACAATGCCAGGCGCAGCTCCTACGTTCACCGTGGCTGTCAGTGCAACGCTTGTGGAATAGTGCCCATTCGTGGCATTCGATACCGCTGCGCCAACTGTGCCGACTTCGACCTCTGCGAGACTTGCGAATCCCAAGACCTTCACATCAAGACACACGTTTTCTACAAGATCAAGGTTCCCGCCCCTAGGTTGGGTCCCCGGCAGCTCCAGCCCGTATGGTATCCAGGAAATCCCGACAACTGCGTGCGAGTTCTGAATAGGGCGGCCATCGCGAAACTGTCTCGGTCGACTGGCTTGGAGCGTCCCGAACTAGAAGCTTTGTGGGAACAATGGACATTCTTGGCAAATACCGAGTGGAAGGAGGACCCGGACGGCCTGAACCTGGCCATGGATCGCAAGACCTTTGAGCGCACTCTCGTTCCATCTGGTTCGAACCGACACAATGCCCCGAATCTACTGTACGACCGCATGTTCGCCTTCTACGACACCAACAACGATGATCTGATCGGCTTCTCCGAGTTCCTGCACGCCACCACCTACCGCAAAAGCAAGCACAGGCTTCTCAGCATCTTCAATGGCTACGATATTGACGGAGATGGCTATGTGGACCGCCGTGACTTTCTACGCTTGTTCCGCGCCTATTACGTGCTGTTTAAAGAGATGCACAAGGACATGCTGGAAGGCCTCGACGATCAGGTCATGAGCTCTAACGAAGTCAAGCAGCTGATTTCTAGTAGACATCCGGTGAGCAGCTTCTTTGGTCGGGAAGGTGCTATCCCTCGATCGGATAGTGATCGGCCCCTGTATGGAAAGGTTTTTACGAGCAACGGTGATGTGCGAATCATGGACGGACGCACCAGCGCTGTCAACGAGGACAAACCCGACACAGCTGATCGTGAGGCCGTGCTTGAGAGCATTTTTCAGCAGGAAAACCGTGATAGCGAATCCCTTTTCGCTGCTATCCTGGATGAATACAACAATCAGGAGGCGAACGGGATGCCCAGAGAGTCCCTGCGCTACTTTGCTGCCTTGCTGAACCCACCTGCCCGCGTCGAGGACCTACCTTCGTTGCTTACTGGCCGACGACGGGAAGGCGACGATCTCCTCTTTGTTACCAACCCCGACGAGGATCATGACGGGACGAGCGAGGAAGAGGATGGACACCGCGATCGTGCCAGAGCCCACCAGGACGACTCAGACCAAAACATTATTCGTGGTGAGGGATTTGTCATGAGGATGAACGACGACGCCGATGCCCGATACCGTCGTTATGCCCGCGCCGAAAGAAACGTGCGGAAAAAGCTCATTGAACGCTACAAGAGACGGCAGTTCTATTTGGATGAGGAAGAGGGTGCATTGCCCCCGGACTATTGGGACCCAGAAGAAGACATTTTGGCCAACCTGAATGGAGTGGGCGAGAGTTCCAAACCGGTTTCGCCACGCTCGCCATCATCCCCCAAGGTCCGATTTGCCGAGGACGTGGACGATTATGATACCCAATCCAACCCGTCTACATCCTCGCGAAGCATTCCTGAGCGGTGGGGAGGTATGGAGATCCCCGGTGCCGAAAAAGACGCCGGCAAAGAGGTCTTTTACCAGGTTGTTCAGCAAGCCTTCAATGAGCTCCTCGACAGGCTCTTCAAGTTCAAGGAGGACATAGCGATTCGGTGTGCCGAGACCAAGGCTGTCCGCGACAAGTACCGCCCATTGCTCGAGTCTATTGAAAAAGGCATGGTGCAACATGCCGACGGCAGCATGATTCAAAAGGCTGCCGAAGAAATGCTGTTCTTCCGTCCGTCAGAAGATATCAATGACCGGGACGGCGAGAAGCCCATCAGCGAGCAGAATCTACAGGAGCTACTGGCGGCTAGTGGCTATAGTGTCGATGAGACCTCTCAAGCTGAAGCTGAGCCTACCGAAGAACCGCAACACGAAACCGGAATTCAAGAGCCCACCAACGGCGCTGAAACTGTCGAGGCGGTGGAAGAGGTGCATCACAACGAACCGAGTGCTTCCACTTCCAGTTACTGCGATCCGACACTGCCTCAGTTCCGACCCAACTCTATGTCTGAAAACATGCCTCGTACCTCGGTCTCTGGAGAGACCCAAGACCACTCTTCACCTAAAGGAAAGGCCAACGAGGCCGATGCCGCCGCCATCCCTTCTGCACCCTCTAGCAAAACTACGGCAGAAGGCCACCACGACGCAAGCCAAGAACCGCAAGATCCTTCAAACATCCCAATTAATACTCTTGTCCAATGGCGATTCCTTGACCTAGCCGAAAAGGAGGCCAAAGAACGTGGCGGCTGGGGTAGACTCAACTACGAAGAGTTTGAAACTGTTTGGAAGCTGGAAGAGGAACATGGTAACCGTCTCGACTACCTCGGCACATGGATTGACTTTTGCATTCCATATCACTAATGGTGTGATAATTGATTGTTCACTTGGCGCCAATCTTTTTTTCCAACCAGTTGTTGTTGGATGCTATTGAGGAGGAGTACCGCGGACTAAGCCAGGATGCAGGAAACGAACAATCGTCGCGGTTTCCTCTTTTCTTGAACAAGAGACTGTTTCGTGGCATACAGTGCTCGCTGGAGTTAGTAATCGTGATGGGAAACGAAGTCTGGTCGGGAACTTGGGTCGAGTTCATCCACCTGGGTTAACATTTGCGTTGGAATGTCCGCCACGATCCCTGGCTATGGAGGCCGAGTTCGATACAACGTTCAACATCCTCTCCCGCACGCAAAAAGCGACCCTCACGACAACTCTGTGAAGTACGCAGGCTCTTGTCGCTTGATCACGCTGTACTCACGAGTCATCAGCAAAAAGTTACTTCCACCCCCAAAGACAACATACTAGCCGGTGCACAACAACCGTTGGGTGGTACTGCTAGCCCAAAAGCCAGTTTTAGCATCACTACGTCTGGGTCTTCATGTCTGTCAACCTTGCCCTATATACATACACCATCCTCATATGAGAGAGAAAGCTGCTGAAGATGCTAGTAGCTTCATCTAGGTAGACCCTAGAAACGCAAAAAAGAATAGCGAAGAAGTGAGCGAGCTGAACAAAGGAAGGATAAGCGAGAGGAGGGGGGGGGGGGGGGGGGGGGGGGGGGGAAACCAGTGACAGAAGCCCCCAGGAACTAACTAGTGTTCTAGACAGGGGAGATTGTATCTTATAGAAATTGCGAGATGGTGGAGAGATAGTTGAAGAATACAAACAGACTTGTAAAGAATCCTCCTTCAAATGTAGTAGTGGACGTCCTAGCGACCGAGTTTGTTGCAAGCGTCACGTTACACAAGTACGCTGCTTTATTTTCGTTTGTCGACATTGACCTCGATTCAATGCTGGATATCGTCCAAATGAGAATCGCGAATCCAATAGTCAGCTGGAGCTAAGCTACGAAATAACAATTCCCACATTACTACTCACTTTCTTCTCTCCTTCACTCATCCTACAATATCTCCCATAACTACAACGTATTAAAGAGATCCCTACACAACCTGCTCTCCACTACTATTAACTCCAAACAGACAACTCATTTTTATCCCCAGATATACAAGAAGAACCCCAAAGTCAATCGAAGACCCACCTCCCCCCTTTCTCCAAAGTATATCAGACGCGACCTGCCCGCTGCTGCTGCCGCCGCCGCCGTGGCTCGTATCTTCCGAAGTGACACCCGTCCGGCGTCCCTCATGTAATGTATGAGATCTGCATGCTGTGGTAGGCAAGGTACGGGATGTTGTGGTACTGTGATTTGTGATGGGGGGAGGGGGGAAGAAGAGGTGGAAGATTGGGAGTTACACGGCGGGCACGACACATCTAAAACAAAAAAAAAAAATAAAAAAAAAATAAAAAAAAAAAAAAGAAGAGAATTTTTTTTTCTAGCTTCTTGCGAGTAGAGAGAGCAACTTAAGCTAGTTAAAGAAGATCAGAGTTTGGGATGTTGGGCAGATACTTGGGTATATTGGTCATGGAAAAGAATAAGTGTTGATTTACTAGGTAAG